GATTTTGGTGGCAACGTTGATAATCTCCTTCAGACGTGGGACACCGAGTGTCACATTCTTACTGGAGACACCGGCATAATGGAACGTATTGAGTGTCATCTGTGTAGCCGGTTCACCAATCGATTGAGCAGCAAGTGTGCCGCACATCTCTCCCGGGTTCACCAGCGACTGGTTGAACTTGGCCTCCACTTCACCAAGGACCCAGTCACATGCCTCTCTGGTAAGATGGAACTGTTCGAGGACGCGGCGAGTGGCCATAGTGGCACGGACGTGCATGCGGAATGTGAGCGATGAATTGGCTTGGACTTCTCTCGTCAGCGGATCATCACCAACCACGACAGCCAAGCGGCTGTTGAGCTGCTGAACGGCTTCAACAATGTAGGCCGGCTCCAGATCACTCGGCTTCCGCTTATCGATGTGGAAGATTTGCGTGGCGTTCTGGATAATACGATGAAGGTTGACAGGTAGATAATGAGGATTGAGGCCGTCTGCCTGGGGAAATATGAATTCTCGTAGAAGACGGCGGTCATTCAGAAGCTCGTTGTATTCTTCATCCAACTTCATCTGCAGCTCCAGAGAGCTGTCATCCACGCCGATCTGCAGGGTATTGGGCAGGAATCCATTCTTACCGTCCGTGACGTCAACGCGATAGTTGTGCTCAAAGGCTTCATTGTCAAGGCCAAAGGTCTCGATTTTTTGGCGTTCGATGAACGCGCCGTCCATACCGTCTTCGCCGTACACGAACTGGATGAGATCTCCAAGCGAGTTGCGAACTGTGCCGTCATAGTGGACCATGACATCCTCCAATGCCTTGACGAGACGACGCTGGATGTAGCCGGTCTCTGCCGTCTTGACGGCCGTATCAATCAGACCTTCTCTTCCAGCCATAGCATGGAAGAAAAACTCCTGCGGCGTCAACCCTCGCAAATATGAGTTCTCGACGAAGCCACGTGCCTCCGGGCTGAAGTCGTCCTTGGTGAAATGAGGAAGAGTACGGTGACGGAACCCGAATGGGATACGACGACCTTCAACACTCTGCTGCCCAACACAGACGGACATTTGCGAGATGTTAATGTATGAACCCTTCGAACCAGCTGTGACCATCTGCTTCACGTTGTTGTCATCCTTCAGGTTCTTCTGCGCGTACTGACCGGAGTCATCACGAGCGCGATTGAGCTCACGCTCTACCTTGCTCTCGAACGACTCTCGGATAGTCATGCCAGGTAGCGCCTTCAGCCGGTCGTGATACGCCTCTTCGATGATCTCCGCAACCAACTGCTTCTTCTCGCTAATACGTTGTGTGATGAAGCCCATCACCTTGGGACCAGCAACAGTGTCGCCGATGCCGATACTGAATCCATTGTGGAACAGCCAGAAATTCACGACCATCTGGATGCCCGTGAAGAGGTCACGAGTAGCCTCAGGACCCTTCTCGCGGAAGACGACGTGCACCAAACCACCCTGAGAAGCGCCCACAGTCTTCTTCTCGACAACACCAAAGATGATTTCACCATTCTCAATCAACATGCCGTCGTCGAAGATGGGGTTCGAGGACTTAGGGTCTGGGGCCCGATGAATATTGATACCGCGGGGGATCACCATGCTAAGAATCTGCTTCCCGGACCACATGGGTTTTGGCTTGATAATAGCGGGTATTGGCACATTGCCGTCCCAGCCAGGGACCCACAACAAGATGTTCTGAACCTGGTTCCAGTCCAGGAACGTATCTCGCAACGTAAACTTGCGGATCCCACAAAGCGTGTCCTGCACGATGCCCATGACAGGTTTATTGGCTTGTGGCGAGATGATCTATGCACCAGTTAAATAGAATACCCATGAATGAGAGAAGATGTCATTACCTGACGGGGAACCCATGCTATTTGCGACAGTTCGGCACGTGTTTCTTCACTCTGTGGAATGCTGGGAAACGTGAATACCGTATTGTATATGAGACAAAGGTGACTTACTGCATGTTCATTTCATCGCCGTCGAAATCAGCGTTGTATGGAGGCGTCACGGACAGATTCAATCGGAAGGCTGTACTCATTAATTTCTTGCAAAGCATGCAAGAGAATACTATACTCACTAGAGTATGGCATCAGCCTCACTCGGTGGCTCATCATACTCATCTTGTGCAAACTAGGTTGCCGGTTGAACAACACGAAGCTGAAACGTGTATCAGCATGAGAATCAGCGCGCATCCTTTTCTCCTTAAACTCACTCTCCATCCTTCAGATGCCGCTCGACAATCCACCCATATTGCAGGAATGCGTCTGCACGCTTGTTATAGCGCAGATCAATACGTTCGCCAGTATCTCTCACAACATAGCGTGCGCCAGGGTATGTAGTCGGACCGTTGCGCACCAGCTCTTGAAGGTATGCGATGTTATATGGCGTCACTATAATGACATTGAGTTGAATCACCCGAAGCGATTACGAACAACGCACCTCGCTCAGGATAGGTCAAATTCATGGCAATGCTCCGAGGAACACCCACTTCGTCCAGTTCCAGGTTAGGATCACCCGTAATGACCGTGCGGGCAGAGAAGTCTACACGCTTGCCCATCAAGTTACCACGCAGACGCCCCTCTTTCCCCTTCAGCCGTGCACGGATAGCCTTCACAGGACGGCCAGACTTCTGCAACGCCTGAGGAATACCGGCAATGTCGTTGTCCATATAGGTGGCAACGTGGAACTACAATCAGCCAGTCAATACCCGCACTTGGATTTGTTTCCGCAAACTTGCCTGGAGTAGGTGTTCATGTTCGCTAATAACGTGCGCGGGCGCACCCTCTTGCTCACACCGCCGTACATGTGCGGACGCCTTGATGATCTCACCAAGCTTGTACGTCAAGTCATCTTCGCTCCGCATAGCACCACCATCAACTGCTATACTTGGACGGACAGGAGGAGGCGGAACAGGCATAACGGTGAGAATCATCCACTCAGGACGAGCGTACTCATCTGAAAGACCTATGAGATGAAGGTCGGAGTCTGACATCTTCTTGAACGTTGTGTAAACCTCAGACGGTGTAATCAGCCGCTTGTCAGGCTGCATCGATTTCACATCCTGAAAGCCGGTCAGCAACAGCGTTCAGTAATGCTGTCATATACCAACCTCATCCTCATCTTTGGGTCTTTTGTATTGGACGAAAAGCTTCAGGCCTTCTTTCCTAACGGCCGGTTGTATATGACCACATCCACCATGACCTTTCTTGGGCTCATCCACATCTCCTTCAGCACCATCTTCCTTGGGCTCGTCAGTCTCACAGACCATCTTGGTCTTGCAGTGCGCCCATACAACAGCCATGCGCGCCTTGGGATCGCGAATATGGCGGATCTTGTCGGCGAAATTGGGATCGGACTAAGGCACGACAATGGCATTGAACGAACAAATTAGGAAGCACATGAAATGTAAACGTCAGCATCAACTTCGACGGAAATAGAGACATTATCTAAGGGACTGCAATGCATCACAAGGAGGCAGCCGACATGATTTGACATATATGTCGGCCATTGATGAGCCCTCTTCCCGCGTCACAGGGAGGGACACCAAAGCCGAGTCCAGTAAAGTGCCTTGAGCACTGGCTGGACTACGATTTTTCGCACTCCTCGTTCAGCGCCCCATTTCACCGCGCACCTCGTGTCCAACCATCACTGAGCGTTTGCAATAATCCACGCGGCGATCAAGCGATCGAAAACGCGCGCAGACCACGCCGCAGTGGGTCAAACGCCTCGTTTTTTAGAGGTACTGCCGCGGTGCGGGTTTGGGGTTCTCCAATGGATTATGGAGAGAGCCCCCAGAAAATTGGGTGGTGGGGTGCGAAACGAGTAGAGGAACGAAATTCAACTCACGATGTCGGCTTTTAGCTTTCCACAGTTTACGCAGATACATTCCAGGATCTTCTTCACTTTAATGATGAAACCTGAAAAACCGGATGAATGTCGCACGCTAAGATAAAGAGAGCTTCGCCAACACACCTGGGTGAAAGACCGGCCTTGCCAACTCGATATGGCCAAAATGACCAGGACATTCTGACATTCCCTCTCCACACGTCTGACACTTGAAATTTCGATCAATGGTTCCCATGCGGGGATCCATTAAACCGCCCATCTTAGGTTTGTGCGTTGTCTCGTCCATAACCTCTGGGTGCTCCACTTTTGCCACCGAGTATGCTTTCTGCATGATGAAAATACACTAATTAGCACAGTCAGGTAGAGAATGGGTTATGACGCACAATTTCCTCTGGTGACAAGATACCAAACTGGACCTCCTTCACTTTGCGAATGGGAGCGGCCGAAAACGCGAACTGGTGGCCCAACATGATTGCAACAAAAGGAGTAAGGAGAACAAAAACGCGTAAAAATCAGGAATGCGGTGACGAAGTCGGAGAATGGAGCTGAAAGAAGTCCAGGACGTGAATTAACGCGAATGCGGTGTCGTGAATGCGATTGTAGGGAGAGTAGTGGAGCTTTGACCACTTTTTTGCGGGTTGAAAGGAACCAAAGTGCCTGGTGAAAAGTAACAAAAAAAGATAGAAATCGTTCACAAAAACGGGTCAAGCGGAATTCTGCGAACCGCGCAACTGGCGGAAGCGTTAATGAATTCGTCTGAATCTGCAGGAAGGCAGAAAGGAGTCGACAACAGGACCTATGAAGACGGCAAGATGGCTGTTGAGAACAACCTGCGGATGAGTCTCACGTTCCAACTCCGCTCCAATTCACCTGCGTCCGGCCCCGAGTCACGCAGTCACACTTTTAGTCATGCATCATATAAACTACATCAATGTGCTACCCAAAATATTCTGTGGAGACCACGAAAAAATTGCACAGAATTTTGTTTCTTCCATGGTGATATTTTGTAATTTTGGGCGGCACACTGTCTTTCACGGCGTCACTAACTGAAATAATATTACCTGAATATTTGCTGATCGGAGTGCGAAAATCACGGCTGATTTGTCATCACGTTATCAAGCTCTGGGCAGCTGTGCGCAGTTGACGCGTGTTTCAGCATACCACTCAATAATCGTATTAACTTCCACGGTGCTCATTCTACATGGCATCGATCAGCAGCTGGTTATGGGGAACTTCACAGCTCGATGATGCTGTCGGTGAGCATGCTCAGCAATATCAGTGTGCTTTAACTCATCATTACCTTTTAGACAAGGCCACCTCGGAGCTCATCCCGAATGGCTCAGAGGACGTCGCTCTCAATCTCGAGATATGTGACCAGATACGCTCCAAGTCAGCACCCGCAAAGGATGCCATGCGTGCGCTCAAGCGCCGCCTTAACAACAAGAATCCCAATGTCCAACTCCTTGCACTCGGCGTAAGCCACGTCTTTCAATTCTTTGCGACATTCTCTGATCCCGGTTCGACAGTTAACAGACATCTGTGTCAAGAATGGTGGCGATCATTTCTTGAGCGAGGTGACCTCAAGGGAGTTCATGGATAATCTGGTCTCCATCCTCAAAATGCCTGGTCTAAATCATTCTGTCAGAGATGACATCTTGAAGTATATACAGAACTGGTCTTTGGCTTTTGAAGGCAAGCCCAATCTTAGTTACGTCAATCAGGTCTATAAGACTCTCAAGAGTGAAGGTATTCACTCAGTCGATCTGTCATCACCATGTTTCACAGTTACTGTGCAGGACATCATTTCCCTCCAAAGGACTTTGCCCTGGCGAACTCTGCCATGGTTGATACATCAACCGCTCCAGAATGGATAGATTCCGAGCTGTGTCTGCGATGTCGCACTCCGTTTACATTTACCAATCGGAAACATCACTGTCGGAATTGTGGACAAGTTTTCGACCAGCAATGTTCATCTAAATCCATACCCTTGCCTCACTTCGGCATCACTCAAGCTGTTAGGGTCTGTGATGCGTGTCACAATAAGTTGCAGAAAAAGGCTGAGAAAAGGTATATATGTGCTCTCCCATGCATAAGCCATTCTAATGTACCGTCTTCTGACAGTGATAAAGGACACCGCCATTCCGCAAGTATGTATAGCCCGCGTCACAGCAGTGCGCGCGACCTCGCAGATGCCGAGCTCCAGCGCGCTATCGAGCTCTCCCTTGAGGAGGTTGGTGCTGCTCACGGACGCAGACCGGGTTATGTCCCCGCTCAACCCACTGCGCACGATTGGCACGTTTCCGAACCTCCTCTCGTAGACAGAAAGACGCACCCCGATCGTAAAGTTGCTGACGCGGATGAGGATGATCCTGATCTCCGTGCAGCTATTGAAGCAAGTCTCCGCGAGGCTAATGCCCCGAAACCGAGCGCCCCTGTGGAGCTTACAAGCACAGACTCGTACAGTAACGTGTACGCCACGTCTCAATCATATCCTCCCACTGTCATGCCTGCGCCACAAATGCCGAAGCTTGCAAGTTATGATCTTGAGCCATTGGAGACCGACGCCATTCTTACATTCAGCCAGACGGTGGAGCAAGTGCAGGCCCAAGGTGGACGCGATATGTCGCGGTATCCTGCTGTCAACGAACTATATGACAAAGCAAACGGACTCCGGCCCAAGCTGGCGATGAGTTTGGATGACACTGACCGCAAAGAACGTGTGTTAGTTCACTTGGAAATTTCCAACTCTACTGATGCTTGCACGCAGAACTGCTATCAGAGATGCACGAAAAGCTTTCGCAAGCCGTCAAGCTCTACGACAAGCTACTGACGGATCAGGTCTCGCATCCCACGTGGCGGCGTTCTCCCCAACAGGTCCACCCTACGACTGTACCAGTGCGACAATCCACACAAACCCCTGCTAACGGTCACAGTCAATGGGCGCCATCCCACCATCATGCATCCTCCGTATCTTCCCCTGTTTTTGCGCCACCACGGACCGACTCTGTCCAATACGCCCCACAACCTCTTATCTCCCGACCCACGTTATCTACTGTCCCCGAGTCAGAGCCTCAATATGCCCATTATGCGGCAGGACCATCACAATCATATACTTCAGAGGCTCCCGGGCCATCACAGCACCTCACGGCTCCACTCGCCTCGCCATCCGCACCTCCTCAACCGCCTCACTTTCACTAGTCCGCCGTTATCTGTATCCTTCCTCCCCCAGCAAACCCCCGCTTCTCCCACCATTCCGGCCAACCAACCCGTGTCAATACCCCAGTTCGCCAACACTCCCGCACCATCTCAACCACCACCACCACCACCACCACCACCCGCATTTCAACCCATGGCTCCACCCCTTACTCCACAAACGCCAGCCCTCGCACGGCACCACACCGTCTCGGCACGCACCGCAATATCCCCGCCGCCCGCCCCACTCGCCCGCTCAAGCACCGTATCACGCGCGTCCCGCCCTCAGTATCAGCAGCCTTTACAGCCACAACTCCCGCAGTTCCCCTCTGCACCAACGGCAGCACCGCAATCGTATGACTTGTACGCGCCATCTGCGCCTACAACTATTCCGGAACGACGAGAGGAGCTGTTGATTGATTTGTAGTGATTTTTTATTGCTACAGTGTGTGAGTGGGTTACGGCAGGATTGCGTACTGGTGGACTGATAGATTAATGTGAATGCACGTACTTAGTAGTTTTGAACAAGTTTACATGTAATAATCGTGTTGTCTTCTTCATAAAACTTCAAATAACTTAGTCTTGTGCTACTTAACGGTTGCGATTACTAGATAAGGCTTATATATGATGCGAGGGATTATAATTTATCTACTGATCCAGAGGTTCCGGTTACATGATGTTTACCGGAAAGCATGACATGATGTACACAGATCATTGAAGTTAACACCTATCAGCCTCAGAACCAAACTTTTTTGAACACCAACCCGGTTTCTCCAAAGTCTATGGGGTGGGGTGCCCCAGTACAAGGAACGATACTTATTTGTGCAAACGAACAGGTACCAGACACATCAGGCCCCATCCACTAGTGTGACTAACGGGGATAGATATGATAAGTTTGCATCCAAGTAAACTACTACATGGTACTCGGTGGTACTTAAAAAAACTACGCGACATGCACATGATTAGGTACCTACTACAGAAGAAACTCTTACAACATATGTAGGTATCAAAGACTGAAAACACACTTCTTGCCACTCAGCACAACGTCAGGCTTGAAAGTCCGCTTGGCCACCTTGACTCTGTCTTCCGTGACGCTGAACAGCTCTGGGAACCAAGTCTTGACCTCAGTGAGATCCTCCCCGAGAAGCATCAGCGCAACGGCCTTGGAACTCAGCCACGCATGCACCATGCCCTCACCGGAGTAGCCGGCCGCAATCCACTCACCGGGAGCAGCAGTGACAACTGACTTCAGCTTCTTCGTATCTGAATTCAGAGTAGAGGGTGTAGACGAAGCAGGAGGTGCCCTCCTGCCAGCCACATTAACGGGCACCTTTCCAACCCACGGCATCCCATCGACCGACTCACTCAACAGACCACTCCAAATCGCCTTCACTCTTCCCTCTGCCCACAAACCTACACCCACATCTTGATCGTCTGTGGGAGTGGTCGGTAAGGCCTCAGCACCCCAGCTCTCCGCTCCGAAATAGATCGGCATTGCACCACCTACATGCGCTGCGCTATGCACGCCATACATTGCATTATTTCCGCTATCCGTGCTCGACTCAAAGCCTGCGCCGAACATGAGTTCGTGCTCGCCTTCTGGAAGTTGCGTCAGGTAGTCGAAGCCCTTACGTGGACTATCAAAAAATACGAAACTCCGCCCGCCGCGTAGCGTACTTGCATGGAGGTTACGGCCAGGCCGCTGTGCGGTCATGGTTTCTCGAATGGGAAGGATAGCTCCCTTGAGAGCGGGTAAGAGCGCAGGCGCGTACGCATTCGTGAGATGCACAACGTGTGAGGCCGTAATCACCCCGCGTGCTGTAGTGAGTCTATAGAATGGGCAACTTGATGTGGGCTCATCGATTGATGTACAAGGTGCGCGGGTGTGAATCTCAAATCTAAGTCGTCGTGAATGATTGCGGGCCACAATCAAGGTTCAAAGACTTACTCTTTGGGGTAGTCTGTAAGAAGGCGGCTTAAAATCGACGTCACAAAGCGATATGGATGTATAGCACCAGCTCGCGTGGTAATACATCCTACCGCAAGTGGCGAAAGATGAAATTTCTACCACGCTGTCAGTCAGAAGTCACGGTGCTATCCCCCGACGTACCTCTTGAGCGTCTAAGCCCTCATAGCAGGTATATGAGCCTGCATGTTCGCCCATATCACGCTGATATACTTGCAGCTTCCGCTGTGCCTCTTTAAACGTAGGCTTATCGAAGTACACATCGACACCCTCGACGGCACGACACTGTGTATACTCTGTGATACCTTCCTCTACAGCAATGGCCAGAATCTCATCCAAGTGCGCCTTCCGGAAGCGTATCATCTTCTTTGCCATATCCTCGCCCACTCTTTTCTTCAGGTCTTCGTAGTCATGGTATGTCGCGGGAAAGATATGTCCCCCATTTCTGGGCAAAATAGTAATATCGCATCAACGAGCTAAGCGAAATGGGCGCTCATTGCTCACCTGCCGGTGGCCCCTGAGCATACATCTTGGGCTTCAAGCATGACGACATGAAGACAGTCTCCGCATTCAAGCAGAGTTCGCGCAAAAGAGGCGCCGGATATACCGGATCCAATAATAACTATCGTCAATGGTTCACCTGGCGACCTGTAAACAAGTAAAGAGCGTACTCACCCACGTCCACATGGGATGGTAAATTCTCCTGTGGCCGAGGTTTTGCTATTGGAGTTGCAGGAATTGTCCAAAAAGAAGTTGTTGGCTCTGCTATAGGTAGACCATCTAGAACGCCACTCCCCATATTCTTCTCAGCAGACGAACTGCGAGAGACTGGAAAAGGTTGTTTGGAACGGGAGACACAGTTGCCCATAAGATACTGTTGTGTCACTAGGTGATGGAGAGAGTTGGAAGCGAGAAACTGGTATGGAAGAGCGAAGAAAGGAACCCATGCTCACGATAACGCGGGGCTAACCAAATGAGAAAGTGCCACATTCTTGGACAGCCCACACTCGACTGGTTCGGACACGTTACGAAACGTGAGGAAATCGGGGCCCTTATCTTATCACCCATGCGCATAAGCACCTCAACCAGAGGCAGTCTTGCCACATTGTCACTGCGGCACAACTACCATCGCAAATTTGCAAGCTTATCTTGACAATATCCGGGGGGAAGCGTGAGCCCTAAAGCCAGATACGCCCTGTTTCAAGATATGAGAATAGCAGAAATGAGGGAGCTGGGTGCTGCATGTCAATCATTTCGTTTCACTCGTGTCCCGGAATCAGACACGTGCTATGTGATAGCATCGTCGATTGTGTGTGCTGAAGATCGAGGAGAGCTCTATGAGGCAGGCAGCACCCCCCACTGATAACAGCAGAAACCCAACTGGTCAATTGGAACCAAATCCCACTAGAAGTAGTACGCATCTACGGTATCCCTTACCACTTGGTAACCATAGATTCGCAGTTTGAGCCATGATTAACTCATTGAGTCTCGTCGGTATGTCATATCGATGATTTTGAGCAGGTGTTCCAATAAGTAGTGTTCTCTAGTAGAGGCGTTGATATTTATTGCTTCCGCGTTGAGTTTTATTGTGTTCGCGGGTCCAGCCGATATGGGACACGGTCGGACTTTGGAACCAACCTTACCACTCAAGCTACATACTGCGGTTGCATCGGCCCACACATTACTGACTGGAACAGAGAAACGATATTAATGTAGCACTTGATACAGTCGGGCAGCTAGGTCTCTGCTGACAATTTCAAAGCGACGCTTGATGATAATTAATTGATCGCACATTGCACACGAAAAAAATTAGTCACTGGCAACTTCAAATCTAATCATTTAGAAGCTGGTAAGAACGTGGTCTAAAATAGCGAGAGCATCTGCAAGAAAATGAACATTTGAATGATGTCTGGGAGCGTTCTCGTTTTGTCTCTTCGAGCTTCAACAGGCAGGTAAGGGCTTGGCGACATTACCTTCGTATTGTCGAGTCAAGTATCCTCCTTGTTCCGTTTGATCAGCGATCGTCAAAGGGTATCCTTCAGAGTCTTCATGAAGTCCCTCTGCAGTCGTGCCAGATATGCGACCAGTTCCTCCTCAGGGAAGCGAAGAGTGATCTAACGCCTGGTTCAACTGCGCATGAAGCTGAGGAGACATCAAACATTCAGGATTAGGAATGTTCGGGAAGCTAATCGACGATACCTTCAAAAGTGCACGCCTGCGAATGGTCAAGATAGTTTATGCGACTTTCCTCCTCGCAACGCAGGTTTCTTTCAGTAATGATCTCAGACAATTCGTCTCGCTTCAGTGAGCACGTCGTCGGGGAGGTCAGCTAATTTGGCTAGTTCCAAGTCCTGATCGAGACTGGATCCGAGATGCCTTCTCCGTCTGTCTGTTGTCTGCGACTCACCATAAGTGGCCTGTAGTTTTCTGGAACTCCGTCAAGATCCTATAATTTTGTCATCAGCTGGGCATCGTGCATCATAATGATATGAAGTTGACTTGTATTGAAATGTCAGGCCGAAGTTAGAGGCCGATGGACGTGAACGCTGGACGGACAATCTGTAAAGAAGCCTACAATCTAGAGGAATTTGAAAGCACCTGAACAGACAGATGCAAGCTGGACAAGTTCGTCATGCGCTACTGGTCAAAAGAGTAATAGCGACCACTCACTTCACCACAGCAGGCTGTCGAGAAAGAGTGGTCGATAGCTCGTGGAAATGGCTGGCCGTCGTGTTAACGCGCGAGTTAACCTAGTAGTCGCGTGCTCACGTAGCGAAGAGAACAAAACACTGACGTTCTCGTAAGAGTAAAAACAAAGGCATGAGCAATTGTGCTTACTTTTAATTTGATGAGTTCCTCTGCAATAGCATGTGCTATACCAAGACCCTCAATAGGAGATGTCCCTCGACCCAATTCGTCGATGAGTACCAGTGTTCTTGGGGTCGCAATGCCTAGGAGGAGTTCAGTATGAGTGACAGACTCATCTATATATCAAGACCTAGGAATCATAGCGGAGGATGTCATTTCATTTGCAAACGTGCTAAGACTCTTCTCTATATCGTCATCATTGGAGAGCCGAGTAAGTAAGGCGTCATGCAGACTTGAGAGAATGAGTACATCAAGATTTGCTTGAATTCATACATAACTCACCGAAAGCTTGCATACTCAGCAGGCACAAAACAACCGACCATTGCCATCACAATGAGAAGGCCCGTTTGACGCAGATATGTGCTTTTCCCTTGTGGAAACGCTGAGAATGATCAGTGTAATGGGTGCTGACGCACATCGTACCTGACATGCTGTTGAAGAGTATGGACATCTGTACATCCAGACAATGAATGATTTATGAAACGCACTTTGGCCCCTGAACAATGTGAAAGTGGGCAGCGTCGCTGCAATAAATATCGTTTGAAACGACCATTCCAGCGGACTGAACAGTCTCAAGGATAGGATGACGACCACTCTTGATCGCTAAGGTATCAGTAAACTCGGGACGCACTGAGGAAAAAGTCTGTTGGCATTCTTTGAAAGGAGCTTGCACCCCATACCATAGCTTCGCACTAACGAAGATTTCGTTAGACTGTGGGAAGTGCAATGACTGGAATGACGGACTAATGGAGACATGAGCAAAAGACCATAATAAGTCGATGGTTGCAACCTGAACTGGCGTTGAGAAACCTGGCTTTGAATGGGAATGCCATTACCGCTTCCGAAGCAGAATAGAGCACTCCCGAAAACGCTATAATCTGCCCTACAACGTCCCGGATAATCCTTTGCATGTTATCAATTTCAAATGACAATGGAGTCACAACGAAAACGTACTTGTCGCTTAAGACCAGCGTCTCCTCCAATGAATCTTTCATTCGAGCGTTCATTTTTTTCTATCGTCCGATATTAGACCATGTATTGCCATTTCTGTTGAGTCTCACCAGATCAATGCTTGAGAACAGCCAACGACCTCGTTGCGCAGACACGTTGATGAATCTCCTTCGGCAGCTCATCCTCAAGCTCATCCTTCTTGAGAGCAAACACGAAGCCACTTTCTTGATAAACAAGAGTAAGGGGCAGGGAATACCGTTCGCTTAGGGCGTGGTTGAGCTGATATATATCTGCAACATTTTCTTTGAAAGTTCCACGAGCAACATCCAAGAGCCGGTTGCGGTTTGCCTGCAACAATTAACCAACTTGTAGAAAGCCAGTGGTTGCCAACGTACCTTAACTGCGTATACTCTTGCGTTAATCGCGCCAATCCCTCCCTAGCAAGAGGTTATTCAGACAGCGTCGACAATAGCATACTCCAATTACCTTGACCGGTCCTGCGTCGTCGTTGAGGTTTTCCGCGATAAGCTCCTCGATCTTAGTCAACCGTTCATCAGACAGTATCTATATTCATGTTGCGGTATGAGAAGCCGCAGATTCGAACCCGCAGTTCAGGGCTCACGTCGTATATTATCAGCAGTAGCTGAGACTTGCATCCATTCAAGGCCATCTGCAAAAATGGAAGGCTTCGAATAGCAGTGCGCAAGCTGAGTATCTGTGACACGCGGGAAAAGGCTCCCTTTGCTGTTGTTGTTGGCCGTACTTCAGAAAACCCAAGCTATGGGCTGGGAGTTATGTTCAAGTCCACTCCACGAAATAGGGCTCACCGAGGAGATGAGCTTGTCAAAGTCCATCTTATTCAAGACTTTTAAGGCATCCTTTATCTCAGTAAATTTGTCCTCGCTGTGAATCAGCTCTATGGTAATGTAGAGGTCAGTACCTGAAGTAGAGTTTTGTCAATATCAAACCTTCCACGGCATCTAGGCGGGCATCCAAGGCGCTTTGGGCTACAGGCGGGGTATATGGAATTAACTCATTTGGGTTCGATAGCGGAAGCACTTGCCTGTCAGGGGTGCCAGTATATTCGTTCGCAAGAGTCGTGTAGCCATTGCGGTGTAGGTGTAGTTAAGCACTCTAAAGCATGTCAAACCACAACCAATCAAATAAATGACGCCAGATACCCAAAGAGAGAATGCGTGGATTTCTTGCGGGTCTGATTGTTGATTAGCTCCAGATTTCTAACAGTTTCGGGGTCGATCATCATCGTCCCCTCAACAGGGATATAACGTATACGAAGAGAACACGCAGAAAAGCGAGTGTTGAGGCGAGTTTCTACAAATTTGAAAAGAGCACAAGCAGCTGAGAGTGTATAGTATCTGCACGCTAGCAATTAGCAAAGTAGACGCGCATATATGCGCATATAACGACTTGTCTGTCACGGAGACCAGTGTAGCCGCACGCTCATCGTCTTCAACACAGAACTGAGCAATAAACTGGTAGCCTAGATTATAGTTAAGCGTATATATGCGGGATAAAATGTATTATTGGCTGACCGGCGCTATCATTCCAGTATTTTCTTGGTACAGGTTCGATGGGGACTTGAGGAAACTCCTCCCTGATGAACTGCACCGACAACGATGACGATGAAGTTCCTCGTGTACCAGACGCAGGAGTGAGGCTCGTGTTTGTAGAGGATATGAACGTATCTGGAACTAGGATCATGTGTGGCGTATGCACATGCATCTGGTGTAGAGTCTTGACGTATGTAGAACAAGTCCGAGAGCTAATTCGCATGTGTTAGTTGCCGTGAATTAGCAGGAGAGGAACCCTTACCTGAATGAGCATGACTCTACCCGTATCTTTATCGAGAGCGGCCATACCCACTTCGTGCGCAATCCCTCGGCTTTCGATGAGAGCGATAACAAAGCTGGCATCGTGCATAGGTGGAAGCGGCGGTCTGGGGGCGCGCCGTCCCAGGGCGTGACTGAGCAGTCCATAGTCGGGACGCGCTTGTCTGCCGTGTATAAGGACGCGACTGCCCAGATTCAGGGCGCGTTGATGACAGTTCGTTGACTGACCAAGGACGTGCAGTGTTCATGGGTGCAGTTATGGTTGCTTGTGGAAGTAACAAGCTTGAACTAGAATACTAGTGCTCCGTGGTGTACTAGTAGTTACTACAATTGCCAATTCCAGGACCCTTTTAAGGGTACTGGTATAACGATCTTTTAGAATGTACTGGGAAACCTTATATCGATCTCACCGGGTTTGGCGGTCCGCCTCCCGCGCCCTAATCCGTCACTGATTTGTCAGCCTTTTTTCTTCTTGTCTGTCTCCTGTCTGTGACCGGTTGACGCTCGAACCTCCGTTTTGACCTGTCGTCACGTCTTTCCGAAATCTACGATTCGTTGCTGACTTTCAATTTGTTTGACTTGCGATGGCTGCAGCCACGTCGTCTTCTTCTTTGTCTGCGACTTCGTCAGGCCTCGTGCCTCCCCTATCCTTGGTCTCGTCGGATCAGGAGTTTTTTGATGACGGCTCGTCTGTCGTGTCTTCCTGCGTTTTACGCAAGTTCTTCGAGTTCTCTGTGGGCTCTCGAGTTCGACGAGCGTTTTGTGATCAGTATCCAGTTGGCTGGTTGTTGCCCGTCAAGTACTGTTCCTGCTTTGCGGTACTTTCCTTACCTGAGTCGTGATGATTATGCCGCTATCGCCGGAACGCACTTTGTTCTTGTTCGGGCGTTCGATCGTAAGGATTACCTATGTGACATGCTACGAGTGCACGTATGTGATGTTCGGTGTGTCAACAGTCTCATTGTGTTTGAGCTTTTGAAGACGGCGATATTTCGTAAGTTATACTCATTCGATATTGTAAGTCGTTCATACATGCATGATTGGTTTGGCAGGCTCTGCGCTTGCATATCAACCGAACAGCGCTCTTCCGGCTGTATTCCACTGCATTTGCTTTACAGTCACACCAACCGTCCGTAGTCCTTCACCTTGCATCGAGTGCTATCGAACCAGCCAACCAACTTTTTCATGTCAATAGGGCCTAGCAGCATGCTGCCACGGACTTCAAGCACAGATTCGGGGGCCGTTTATCATGCTCTCCCACCAGTCGCGGTCGATGACGATTGCGACGGCGAACTTGACATTCGATGATTCTGCAACAGACCACTTTGTCGTTGATGAGGTTGTCAATAGGCAAATACGGTGGGTCTCCTTATACTAAGCTGTGCGATCCTCCTCCCTTGGAATGGTGCGTACCAATACTTATCTCTCCAGTGCGCGTTATGGTTAATTTTGTCCAGTATTGATTACCGCCACCTCGTCCTTCTTGTCTCGCTTGGTCGGTTCACTACTGCAGGCTACCTTTACCACCAGTCACACTCATTATCGTTCTCCTGTTCTTCAGCACCTACTACCAACCATCAGGCTTCTTTTTCTTTGCAATTCTATGAGCTATCTCTTTTGCGATATGCGTTTCATATCTTTCCACAGCCATCTACGCTGGAGCCTCGCTCTTCAGGGCTCCTTACATGCAATCTATGATATCTGGCCAGGCTGCCATAGCTGTGGTTGTTAGTGTGGTCCAGGTGGTTACGTCCGCCTTATCTGTGTGGGGTTCGATGCTGGAAGCAATTGCCGCGTCCATATCTAATAATGGCATTGGAGACGGAACGGCAAAGCAGGATTCTGCCCGTACATTTTTTGGAATATCCGTATTATTTATGATATGCATGTTCATGGCCTACGCCTGGATGGCGCGATTGCCGGCCTACAAGGCCACTGTGTTGGGATTTTCTCAAACTTGAAACAGATTACTATGGTAGAATGCTAATGACAATGAAACCAACTGCAACGTGAATGTCAACTGAGGGTCCTGGGTTGCCCGGAGGGCCGTGGGGAATGATACATGGGTATGCTTGAGCTTGTACTGGTAATTGATTGGTCCTAATTTGGTGGCTTATGTTATTGTTTGGCTGGTGACCTTGCACTTAAGAATTGAGCACGCTTCTTAAAGCTTAAAGACTTGTCATAAACATGAATATGTGACTCTTTATATTGAACGTTCCGGTAGGCGAATGCGATAACCTCAGTGCTCGGGATTTCTAACATGCCGTGACCCTGTTGAAGTGATTGACGTCCCTCGCGTTCCTGCAATACCCGTACGTGTGTGTTAATCGGACGGAGCTAACCTCGAGCCTCCATTCCCGGATCAACCTCAAGCACGTCTCTTATCTATCTACAACCATGAGTGTGATTACTCGTAGTGCTGCGCTGCGTCTCTTTGTTCGCGCTCGAGCTTTCTCCACTGCCCCACCTCCACGTCTCAGACGACTGGGACGCGTGCTAGTGCTTTCCAGCGCGTTGACTACCTCCGTGCTGGGTTACGCATTCTACACCGATGCTTCAAATATCGAACCGCCATCTTTTGACACACGCACACTGTCGGATCTTGTGCGTGCGTATATCGTGTACGGGACATGTAGCATCGCTCCCCTCGTTGATGCGGCCCCGACGATATTGGATATCTTGTTCGGTACCCCTGGAGTCAGTAAGATAGCTGAGAATTTCGTGCGAGCCACTTTCTTTCATCAGGTACATATCATCTACTCCTCGTTGTCTAATTCGAAGCCATAACCAGGTTGGCAGTTTGTCGGTGCAGACACGGCCAATGGTGCACTACCACTGCTTGCGTCTCTTCGTGCAGAGAACAAAGGTGCTCTCTTTTCTTATGCTGTTGAAGTCGACGAAAAGGAAGTGGCGGGTCAGACGAACATGGAAAGGCAGCCCGCACACAAGCGTATCATAGAGGAGATTATAAGGACTATCAACGCCTCCGCCGATTTCGAGGACGGAAGGGATGCACGTCAGAATGGACACATAGGGAGGCGGACTTGGGTTTCTGTGAAACTTGTGAGTTGTCAGTATTATACATCAGGAGGAGCACAATAATCATGGTCGCCCAGACTGCTATGCTTCCAAATGCCCAATCCTTGATCAATTTGTCAACACACCTCACGAATACTCGAGCACCGCTTGAACCGCCGGTACTCTTTCCAGGGACTCCTTCACCGTCTGATCTTTCCATCTTGCATTCATCTACATCAACAGGAGCACTAACAGAATCTGACATCCATGACCTGAAAGAGCTATACAACGACCTTGTGCAGATTTGTACTCGTGCTGAAGAACGCGGAGTAAGGGTGTTCATCGATGCAGAGCATAGGTGTGTCTCAAGTTTATCGGCTACTTGTTAAATATTATACACTGAGTTATCCCTCCATATTATAGTTGGTACCAACCCGCCATCGACGCGTTTGGACACGCGTTGATGGAGCAATTCAATAAGCTCCCCTCCAATGGCTTCCGGCGGACATGGCGGGAAATATCCTCTTGGACATCCTCCCCATCCGCGAGAGAACCTGTGCACGACAAAGTGCGGCCTCTCGTGTATGTGACCTATCAAGCTTATCTACGACGGTCAGTGCTCAGATCTACGCAAATAACTAAGTGCGCTCACGCTCAAATTACAGGACGCCCATGCACCTCGCGCATTCCCTGGCGCTGGCCCGTGCCAGAGGATATGCACTTGGAGTGAAACTTGTCCGGGGAGCTTATCACCCATATGAGCTTGCTGTCCATCAGCTGGCTCGTTCAGCTGACTCTGCAGTCGGACCCTATTCATCAAATCACTCACGCTCGCTCTCCATATCTCCCGACCCTGAACCCCCTGTTCAACCCTCGAAGGATGCGACGGACCAGTGTTATTATGACTGCGTGACCATGTTGATCGATGCAATCTCCCAAGACGTCCCCCGCTCCGGCCGATTTGGTGCACCAGGCATTGGTGTCTTCTTTGGTACGCATAACTGGACCTCGTGCGAGTTCATCCTCGAGGAACTTGTTAAGAAGGGCCTGGGAGTCGTCGAGCGCGTTGGCATCGATGAGGTGCAAGAAGACGTGGTGCAGATCCCGCTTGAAGTTGGGGAGAGGATTGCATTTGGGCAGCTGTATGGCACGTTTACATTTCTTTGCTTTCTGTCCAATGTAGCATGAACTCATTGTCTGATATGCAGGGATGTCAGATACGCTGACGAATTACCTCGTCGGGCGGACGCGGTGTGAAAGCCCATGTGTGATCAAGTATGTTCCTTTCGGCACACTGCTGCAGGTGAGTCTCTTTATTTCTTACTCTATTCCCCTTCGGATTGGCCTTTCCACATCAACACATGAAGTCTTTATTTTCCCTTGCTATTCTTGTTTGTGGTTTCAAGGATGATTCTGACCACGCTGTCATGTTTAGGTCATGCCCTACCTTTCACGTCGGGCGATTGAGAACAAGAGCGTCCTCGGAGCAGGGGGTGCCACAAGAGAGAGAAAGGAGGCTGCAGCTCTCATTTGGAAGAAGATGAAAGGATTGGTTGTGTCATAGACTCATCTGGGCCCGTCAAATTTTTATTGGGTGAAACGCGAATTTTGATGCAACAAAGGGCTCCAGACGCAGGATTGTAAGTACTAGCATGTAGACTCAAGTAACTACCCACATCACGGACTTGGAGACGTAACAGATATCCTAATCGCAAGAACAGTTGGCACTTTGCCTACGAGAGCATTGAAAACAGATATAGTCTAGCCCTAGTACACTGCCTGCATAGTGAAATCCTTCAGCGTCCAAGTAACTCCCTGAATTCTAGGCCCCATTGCTCATTCTTTCGCGATTCCTCCACAAAGGTGTCGAACTTGGGCGCGCTGCCCGCACTGTCAATTTTGCTGAGGGCAGCGACAGCACGCATCGTGCTCCTCCGTAGCTCTGCCGCGCGTTCGATGTCCTGCTTCACCGTGTCTTTAGTGACGGCTGTCCCGCGCATCGTCGTTTCAAGAGAGGGTGTAAGTTCGTCGAGGCGCTGCGCAAGTGCGATGGATGTTGTCGGAGACGCTGACAGCCGTACAAGGAGCATGTGTCCAATCACTTTGATCTCGTCCGACGGATCGCTGATGGCTGCAAGCAAGTGCGAGAGGAAGATCGACAGGTCGAGTTTGGTGAGGCAGGTATCGAGCTATGAGTACATGAGTGAGGGAAGGACACGGATGCGGCAAAAGCTTACAAGGGTGTACAGTGTCTCCCATGCGGTCTTGCGCGCGTCGAGACCGTCATCGACTTTGTGTGTCCAAGGCCCCATTTGGACTGTACGAATTAGATCGGGATTGACTTTCATCTCCGCATAGAGGCTCGGGAGCAGAGTTGGAAGGTGATCGCGTATGAGGTGGGGCTTTGTTCTTGCCGCAGAGTTGAGAGCGGACAACGCAAGTCGGCGGACAATCTGAGGATTTCATGTCAGGAAGTGGAAATTTATAAAAGCAACTGGCACACCAAATCCTTGTCATGTATTAAATCCAAGAAGTCCATGATGAGCGATGCCAAAAGCTCGTCGTACGATGGCGATGACTCCGCGAGCGTATGTCGGATAGCAGATACGACAGTGGCGCGTGCTGCAGGGTTCTCGTCATGGATACGAGAGTGAAGTTGTGGGAGATATCGTGTGGGATGTGTTGTAGTAAGTTTGCCTAGACAGGCAGCGGCAACATTGCGTGTACTGTCCTCCGCATCCTCCGAGTATTGAAAAAGGGGGTACCCAGAGCTGCTCTGCAACACCTTCGAGCTGCCCATGCGAGCAATGTGTGACGACCTAGACTGATTCTCAGAACACAAATCGACACAAAGACTAAATTTCAGACCTCCTTCAATGCATGCAACGACAGCAGTTTCTTGTGCGGGTCACTCTCTGCAACCCTGAGGATTGCAGGTAAGAATTGATGAAGATTTCCGATAGCAATATTTCCTAGGTATGTCAATCCATGTACCCAGTTAACGTGTAGACTTTACTTACCGGCAGCGAATGCAGCAGCAGCACGAATCTCCTCTTCTTCTGCTGCAAAATGTTCGATAGTACTGCTAAACGTATCTTGTTGCTTCGACATATCACTGTAACAGAGTTATCGATGGAACGGAGAAACTGAGAATCTAACATACATGAAACGGCCAAGTTCTCCAACAATCAGCAGACTTAACACCACAACAGAAGTGGTGAACTTTGACTTTGAAGATTTCTAGAAGCAGTACGATGTGAGAGATACGCTAGGTTACTGTGCCTGGACTGACCTTTATATACTTGGAGTAGACCGCGATGGTTCCTGCTGCCACTCCCTGATCGCTCTGGACAACTTGGCCGATGCATTTAGCGACATTGGCTAAATTGGTGTCTGACTTGTTGGCCTTTTCCGCTAATGTTGCCAAGTTGGGAACAACATGGGTTGCAATTTGACTGTCAGCCTGCACCAACGAAGAGAAGAACATTAGAAGTGAATCGAGAGCAGCTCCTGAGACAAGAGGCGAATGTGCAATCTGATAGATATCGCCAAGGAGCTCACGCTCAACTGCAGGGAAAGTAGTGGTCGGAGATAGCTCGAGTAACACTGTAATGATGGTCAATGCATGAGACAGCAAGGAAATGTCTGTCGTCGATATATATGGTCTGATCTGGGGGACCAAAGTGGGTGGCAGATCGGTAGGAACGCCAGATGAATATCTGGACAAAATGAGGCTGCTTCCGGATCCCCAAGAAATGAACTGACCTTTTTAGAAGAGTATCGAGGGCGATAAATATCTCCGGTTTTCCTCCCCTCTCACTCTTCTTAAGTAGACCCATGATCCATTCAACGCAACTGTTCACCCAGTCGTCACTCATTTCCACATCCCTCGCAACTTTCGTGACCACTCTAACAGCTCCTCCTGTATTACCCGTGGTCCGACATATAGCTTGCCATTCTTTTCCGCCTTTCGGTTTGATGACATCAGGAGCGCAAATCCATAGGTCTGCAATGCAGTCTTCAGCACATCCGCGAACCTCAGCATCTGTGTCATGGGTACTGAGACGCTGAAAAGCTTGATCGTACAAACGCTCCGCCCATTCGCAACTCTTTACGGGCCTCGTGGCATTGAGTAGAGCAGAGAAGACGCGGAAAGCTTCTGAAGCAACTCGAGGGTGTTTCTCTCCAGCCGACTTCAAAAGAACAGGTGTTAGAGTAGGAAGTGACACAGAAAATGTCCCGGGAGCATGCGTCGCGAAATATAATGCAATGAAGGAGAGACATGTAAGGTGAAGGGCCGAAGTTGAAGTCGCTGGCGATTGAAGCAACACAGATTGAGAGATTGCGGCAATGGGTATAATTTGGTTGGAAAGGCAACCAGGAAGAACGCCAAGCAGAGCGTGCAGAAGCTGGAAGCCTGCCTGAAGCGTCGGTGGTGGAGTCTTTGGAGACTTGAGCTGCTGGAGCAAGGCCTTGGATAACGAAGAAACCTGTGAGCGCAGAAGGGTATATGGCGTTTCCTCGACATCCATCCTCTCTTCGCTATCTCTTTTCCTCTTCCTAATGGCGGAATCATTCTCCTGAGATTGTGACAGGCCGCCGTACATGCTAGTCTGGTTGAGTAGAACACCGTAAGTTGCCCATACTTCGAGCCGAACAGTTTTCTCCCTGTCACCAAACCTCGATATCAGCACAGGCGATACCTCTTTGTACAGTGAAGTCAGAAGCTCGGGGCGAGTAGTGATCACAGCAGCTAGAAGTTTGGTAGAAGCACGCCGGATCTTGTACGATGTATCTTCATCGTCCGAGTACCTAAATGCGCATTGTGAACAAAATAAGCAAATAAAACAATCATGTAGATCTCACTCATCAAGATCGGTGTCGTCGTCCTCGTCATCATCTGCGTCTACCATCTCTTCGTCCTCGTCATCATCCTGTCCAGCATAATTCTGTAGACAGATGGGATTTAACCATACAAAGTTGTGAATTCATAACTCACCGGGTCATATTTGATGAACTGGTTTCCTATCTGTACTATCGAGCTTAGGAACGGTGCCGCTTCTGTCAGGCACCTCAAGAGTAGCGTCTCAAGAGCCTGATCACGCATGAGCGATGAGTGACAGTGTTGATGTGAAAGAAACATTTGCGAACCTGAAGACAACCTTCACGAAGTTCATCGTCGTCCCTCTGAACAGCTTTGACGACCCCAGGTATGATGTCGTTGTACACTGACGTCAGCTGCTGCGGTGCCTGCCGTATGATAGCAGCAACCAGATGCACGGTCGTGCGCTGCTTTTCGAGGTTAGCGTTAGGCGAAAGGAACGGGAGGATGTAGTTTTGTAATAGATCGTTGACGAGCGCAGGAGGAGCTACAGGGACGTATTGAGAGAGCGTCAGAATAGCACGTTTGCGTACAGCGGGACGAGAATGTGAAAGAAGCGGCGCTATTGCAGGCAGAGGGTGCGGCGTAAGGGCTGGATCAGATACGTGGGCTGGAAAACGAGTGATGAGTATAGATAGCGTTGATAATGTCTCAATCAAAGTCTCCGGTGGGGTTTCCGTCTACAAGTGACCATGTCAAGAGCAGGACCAATATTGGCAGAATAAACTTACATCCGAAACTTGCTGTAGAAGCTTTGGTGCAAGCTTTGCGCATGCTCTGGGAGTGATTTTGCCTTCCAGTGGCAACTCAGAAGTAATCGTTTTCAATGCTGGATATTTGCTGTCAGATTATGAGGTCTGTCAACGATCTCGATGTCATACCCAACCCAGAGATATCACGCAGTTCGTCGTCTTTTCCCACTGAGAAGTTGATTAAGCTATCAACCACGAGTTCCATCTGCGTTTCGCGAATGATCTTGATCAATTGACCCAGACTAAATGCGCAGTACCACATAGAAGTCATAAGTTCTCGGAGAGAGATAGAGCAGATGTGGGCCATACCACTTGACGGCTTGATTCTTGACTTCCGAGATCTTATCTTCCACCAAGGAAAGTACTTGTTTGAGGACCTTCGTCTCGGTAGGCTCGTCTCCGATGAAGCTGGCTGGATCTTGTTTGATCTCGCTCATCAGGTCGTTTAGACCCATAAATCTATCGAGAACTTTCAGAAAACACAAGGATATATGTTTTGGGCAACCTCACGCACCGAAAGTCCTGGTCCGGAGATTGCATCTATCATTAATCGAGATTGCAAAGAGCTCAGTTGATCTCAGTGAGCAAGCTTTATAGAACTAACTTTTTCAATCAGGCTGTTCATGAGATACGTCTTCGTCATGGTGGTCGTCTATTGAAGCCGTAGGTTAAGATGTTAACGTTGTAGGAGCTGGCAGACAGGAGCCACACATATGATGCGCTTTTAGAATACTGATAGATTTCAGTCACGCACGTCACACTAGCGCCATTACTACTCCAATTGAGACAATGGACTACAGAGCCGAGAACAACTCTTTAAAGGCAGAACAATGAGATACTACAACGTTGACGAATAGACAGTGGTAGCGATGATCAGGTACAACACAATACCGGTCATCATACATAGAACATAAATACTACTTATACAGCGTAGAATCGTTCAGCCGTCGAGTAGGTGCCAGCACCTTACAAGACGCCTGCCTCCTTCAGCATCTCCCTTATAAGCGGGAGTATCAGGCTTCAACTCGCCATTGAGAGGCGCTGCATATCTGCGCTTGTTACGATTATAAGTGACAGGCCAAAAAAGTCCGTCACCCTGCCAGTCACACAACACAAGTCAGTAGGGCAGTCCGTACAATTATTTGAAGAGATTTACCATCTTTGTCTGGGCAGCCTTGGGCTGGCCGGCAATTTTCCCTTGATACCAGTCATAACCTGTGGAGTGGATCCACACATTGTCGCCATTCTGGTAGTCAAGTTATTGAAAGAACAAAGGGGTCGAGTTAGAAATACAATGCTACCTTAAATCGATATGGCCATGGTTCGTCGAGGGTATCCGGTTGGGATTCTTGAAATGATATATCACTGTAGGCACCATCGTCCCACTCCTCGAGATTCACAAAGCGCAGTGGGTTTGGTCTTCGGTCGGTCCCCATGATACTGCGAGGATCCTTCTTGGGGGCTGTGTACATATTTGAGGTGAATTAGAGAATCAGAAATTGGAGGAGAACTTTGAAGTTATTGATCGAGGGATTTGAGTGCGGGTATACCAAGTTATTTCTGTAAAACCAGCCCAGACTCTTCATATATACCCAGATGGTGTGGACCGTGTTGTGACTTCGCATTGCCACACCATAGAAAAGGTCCATTGCTACTTTCAGCTTTGATGGAATACAATGGAGTTCATGACGGCGTGGCTCAAAATTGAACATATTGTTCTAGAAGGACCGACCACTACCGACCACCACAAAGGACCTCGGGTCGCCTTAATATTGGTCACGATAGCACCTATTGTCAACTCTTTGGTGGCTACCTAAAAGAAATCCACAGTCAGTCATTGATATTTAGTATTTACCTGCATACTGTTGAACGCTGATTGACTCTGAGTGGTAATAATAGTAGGGTAGCGCTAATGCGGCACAGCCACTGTGACTGTAATTCCGTGTTTTCCGTACAAGTTCTCTTGCTTGCTGTCTGCATATTGATGTTGAACATTCGAGAGTTCGCACATATTGAATCTACCACTGCCATGTACAAAAGGCCAAGAAATTACATGCATATTACAACAAGGATAATGCACAGACGAGTGCTAAGACATCCACGTTATGACAAAGTCCTGCGATTGGATAAGGGAACCGATCAATGGAAAAATCCGAAGGGAACATCGATATCAATGAAACGCGGCGTGATTGCGAGGCTGAAAAAATAATCATATAAAAGGCTGAAGACCCGAGGACGGTACCAAGCGAAGGGTGGAAGACTCATGGTGCACTATTCCTACCGTTTGGGCAAAGAACGGGGTCTCTGGCGTCACTGGGCCTTCCGAGTCGTTGGTTGTGGCCGAGAGTGTATCTGTAGCCACAGAAGGAGGTAGGGACTCCATGCCAAGCGTCCAGGTTGGTCCATAGAGCCCACGTATCACTACCATCGCGTCGCGGGAACTACTTGAGTCTATCGGCGTAGGTGTCTCGCGCTTTGATAAAACCTTTCTAGAGATTTTGCGACGTATGACTGGCACCAGCTTTTGACATGCGCGGATAGCGGATCGATAAACCGATTTCGAGCGAGAAGAAAGGGGTTCCGTAGGGCTGAAGCCAATGCCGTAGCCGATCTGTTTGACGCCAAGGGGAAGTTCCTTGAGTAGCGGATCAAGGTGAGGAGACCTAAGTGTAGGGGTGCTTGCAGGACGCATCCTCTTGCGGAGCTTATTTCGGATATGCAATTTGGTGGAAGGAACAGTGCTTGCGATAGATAGGGCGGAACCGGCGCGATCTTGAAAGGCTACTGACCGACTTTTGCGCAGCGTGCCAAAGTTCTCTCGTGGCTCCTCACGACTGGCTGTGCTTGAGTTAGAGTAGTGGGAGGAAACAGAGTTAATTTCCAAATCAAGGGCGTCCCACAACGATAATGGATTTGCTGGAGTGTGTCCTAGGTCCATGGCTGCAGAAGGTTGGCTGAAACGTCGTACATAAGCTTGCGTGTTGGACTCCGCTTGACCTATGTCCAGGGATTCCTCTTCGTCAGAAGCTTCGGGTACAATTTCTAGGCGAGTGCTTTGTGAAGAGATGCGTCTTTGGTTCTGGAGAGTGGCATCTTGATGCGCGTTGAGAGATCCAGATTTGGGTTTTACTATTCGTTGTGGCATGGGGGTGAATGAATCCACGAGTATCTCTTCGGCCAAGGTCAAAGGTTCGTCTTCCATATGGGCCGCCGCTTTCTTTGCTTCTGAAACAGTTGGAGTGTCTTCAGAGTGTCGTAAATTGATCTCAGGATCCTCATAATCGTATCCGAGGGGTGCTACAGCGATTGTCAGTTTAGCACAGGTACTCGGAAATTTGTATCCAAACCCTTGCCAACCCTGTTAGTCACGCTCTTCCAATTCCTACGTTAAGTTTCAACAATCCGGTAAGCGCCCAAAGTTGTCAAACCCACACAGTGCAGAAGTATGTATGCGCCTTAATCTGTTTGATGTCCAAGCGAAGAGCTGCATTGCGCTCCAAACACTAATCCCAATTATGCGCATCAGACGGCGCGTGTGTCAAGATATTGCGAGAACCTACTTTGACTAGAAGATCTTGTGCTGTCCATGATACTGATGCTGTCTGGGGAACCATCAACGAGCAGTGAAGGACCTTGGTTTGCAGAATGGCAGCGTTGTCGTTGTCGTTGTCAGCAACGTATGGGTGCTAAAATGCGTAAATAAATGGAGAAATTGATGCGGTAAACTCACAGATCCGAATAGCATAATGTACATCAGCAGACCAAAGCTCCAACAATCGACACTAAAATCATGCGCCCAACCTAGGATGAGTTCAGGAGCACAATATAGACCAGTATCAGGCAGCGGGAAAGAGGTTGCTGAATCAGGTCGGCATGCTTGACCAAATCCTGAGATAACCACATGTCCCGACACGTCGAACATGATATTACATGGTGCCAGGTCACGGTGAATTATGCCAGCAGTGTGAAGCATGTGCAGCGCTTCTACCTATTGCAAATGAGTATATTTAATTGCGTCGTTTGGCTTGGCTTACTATTTCACAAGCTATGTGCAGGACGTGGCTTTCGCCAAGGCTCGTGTCGCGGTCGAGCAAATCCTGGAGACTGCCATTAGGATAAAACTCCTGGTTTAAACTGTTGGCACCTGGAGCACAAGAATAAAAGTAAAGCATACTGCAATGGAGTGAATTTCAGGGCCATCCTCATAGATCCAGATGAATGGTGAGAGAAAAGAAGACCGCAGTTCGCGAATTTCCTGGCAAATTTCCATTTGAAGTTGGATGTGATCGCGAGGACTGCGAATTCGAACGCGCTCCTTGTTTAAAATTCGCATAGCATAGAGCTGGAAGTCGTCGCATTTTCGGCATAGATGTGTCGATGAAATGGAATCTTTGAACAGTGTGTAGAGTAATCGGAACTGCGTGGCTTTGTCTGAGTGTAGACTGGGATCGATGGTCACAAAACCCACATCGCCGGCCTTTACACCTTGTCCGGAGGAATGGATGGGTCTGTGTTTCGGCGAAATGACCATCACCTCCTACAAAGATCATCAGTATCTCCGACGGTCATCAGCACAAGGAGACACTGCACCTCAATTTCTCCATCCCTGAAATGGGGAGCAAGATCCGCGATATCCTTGGTCTATAGTTCAGGCGTCAGAGTGATTCCAATACTCAAAGGTGAGGTGCTGAACCTGGACGTCATAACTCAGGTCCGCGACCATGCCTGCTTTTTTCTGAGTTTCCGGAGGGTCCGGAAACAACAGGGATGTTGGAATATCGTCGTCGAGAAGACCGGTGAATGACTCCTACATCAAAGGTAGTTAGCGTGCAACTCGAACTTGGGGGAAACCATCATTTCAGTACTGAAAAGGGTGAGAGGTCGAAAGAATCGACAACGAGCCTCGGGGCTAGCTGAGAGTATTGAGAAATGATGGACTTTGATATACTGCGAACGGGAGAAGAAATTGGAACTGGTTGTGTTTCGATAGCGGGCATGGCGCGATGTGCAAGTACCGAACTTCCAATGATTGAGATGCAAACGCGTTAAGTGTGTAAATTGTTATTGGAATGCAAAAAATTCGAAATGCCGGTTTCTCATGAATGCATGTCAATATTTGTTAATGTGCAGGACGGCTCGTACGATGTAGCTAGTCTCCCGAAGACAAAGTACAACGTGATACTGATAGCATCTCATTAATATTGAGATCGTAAACTGGTCGTCGTGAAAAGATCACTAATTACTAAGCCATTGCTTTTCCTGAACGCCCAGAAGCCTTCACTTTGTGTACATGATCGTGCAACTCCTCCTAAGGTAAGCTTGTACTAGTACTTGTTCTTGTCATCCTCAGCCCACGTAGGGAACCTGCTGCACTACAAACGACATAGGGTCCTTGCCTGGTGAAGCAGAGACCTGAATATAGAACTTTGCAGGGTTGCCTTTCTCGTCCTTTCCCATGTAGAGGTTCTCGGACTGAATATGCCCTCCTTCTCTGGAGACCTCCTCGTAGCCGGCCTCGGCTTTGGCGGATTCCACGACTCCAGCTTGCGTTGAGCCTACGACCGGGTCCGTCCAGCCCTGTACCGATAAACAAACAATAAATCCTTTGTTCTGACCTCACGGGAATGCTTAGTACCCACCACTGCGAAGTCGAACGATTGCTGAGAGTCAAGCCACAGATTGAACGCTGTGCCCCCTGTCGCCCCTGTGATGGCACCATCGCCATTGCAGCAAGAGAACGTCGCTGAAGAGAACGGTTTATCGCCTTCGGGTGCTTTCCAGTAGCGGCCCGAGGAAAAATAGTTGTCTACAACCGTGTAGTTGAATTGAGTAATATTCTTGAGGGAACAGTTGATCCAGTGGAACTTTTGCTTGAGGTCATCGTCTGCCCCAGGGATGATTTCCTGTATAGTCTACGAGTTGTGACGAGGACATCATTTAATCATGTTCGGGGTTGAAGATTGAAAAAGCGTGTACATACGTTTATAGTCTTTTCAAGCACGGTCAGCGGGTCCAAGATTATACCCGAGATTTCAACAATGCCATTGGGCGAAGCAGGCGAATCGACGGACATTATATAGATGGATAGAAAGTAAGGATATGTGATGCTGTGGTGAACTGATGGATGTTGCTTTCAAATTGCACGTTGCCCTCCACCTTTAATACATAACTGAGATGGCATACTCGGAGCGTCCATGATTGATTCGACGGACATGTACAGCTATTATAGATACCGGGGGTCGAGATCGTCAGACGGGTGTCGTGGAAACCAGTACATAGTACATTCATTCACGCTCAGAATCATGCGTGTCCCATCATCATTAGCAAACATTCCTCGCAGGCGAAATTGCTCTTCGGATTTGCGTAAATTCTTTTGCAATCATTGAAAGTGGTTCGATCCAATATTTGTACTACCAAATTATTATTGCAAGCGAAATCGCTCGAACAAACGAGTTCCATGGACCATGATGGTAACCTGTTATCATTCGGATCTTTCTCGGTTCCTTCGAACGACTTCAAACCCTAGGCCTGAGCAAACAAAGTCCGGACACCCTCACGTCATTCACAATGAAAAGACCCCTGGCAGACTCTGTTCAACATCTTCGCTTCAACTTAATGTCGTAGCCGTCACCGGCGAGCAGCATATGACGGTCTCAACTTCCCCGCATGCGTCCCTCTCCCACTTTTAAGCTCAGCATTAAGTCGGTTCGATCTTATCCTCGTCACGTCTTCGACATGTTAATTTTTTGCATTTTTAGTGTATAATATTAGCTCTCCTTTATTATGTAATACTTTGTATCAAATGCAGACTCGTGGTCCGTGGATATATATAAACTCTCCGAGCAGCTTGATTGGGATGTGGGCCCGCAACACACTCGCTGTAGATATCTTTGACAGGCTACGGCTTCTGTGTGACTCCAGCAACCCAATACCGTCATACTGGGTGATACCTCTGCCCTCTGCGAGTGAGCGCAGTATCTCCTGCTCTGTCTTAGACAGACTCGCCAGTCAGATGCGCGGCGGAGTTGTAAGTCCCAAAGGTTATTGTCCATGATCTATCGTATGTAATAGATACACATAGACGAGGTTCAAAAACACGCAGGTTCTAGCGGGTGACCACAGTGAAACGATATCAGGTCGTCGAGAAACAATGAAAGAAAACTAAAAAAAATCAAGTGGACAGCATTAATGTTCTTCACACCCTTTTCATGTAATTGTGATAAGTTCCTGCTTAACATTGGGTATATCGTACGACAGTCCTTAAGATGCTACATACTGTTAAACTGTATAGGCTGGTGGAGGTTCATCATTCTCAACTCCCGCATTCACACTCAACGGACGCATCTCCATATTCTCTGGAGGTGATGGACGCCCGACGGGCGTGGCATGTGGAGTGTATGCTGCCGGAGTGGACGGTGTTTGAACAGTGGAGGGATCAGCAGAGATCCGTGAATATGTCGAAGGGGAAGAAGGGGAGAGAGGAAACCCGGGGGGTAAGCGGGTTGAATTTTGGGAAGAGGGTGAAGTGCGTGGGGTCTGGTTTGAATATGAGTAGTGGGTTGGAGAAGGCGAGGTCGGTGATCGCGTGTGTGCAGAGTGTGTCATCGGAGATGGGTGTGATGGTTGAGGAAACGAGGGTGCTACAGTCATTCCCTGTCGGTTCAACGAATTCATTTGACCGGGGACAGGTCTTGATGACTGTAGGCCAGGAGGGCATCGTGACTGAGTGGGGTATGGATGATACACATTCGATTGTCGCCTGCCATAGCTGTTACTAGGTGTTGCATACACCAAGGTTGTCTGGGTAGTACGTTGTTGGAGTCTTTGGCGGCGACGAATCCTGATAACGCAGATCATGATCAAGAGAATGACTGCTGCAGTTTGAGACATTTAGTAATGCCAACTATTCTGAGAAACCACACCTACTTCCGCCAATAGCAATACCGATGATAGTCGACGTGGGGCTTGAAGTGCAGTCAGTCGAATCCATCCTGAATTTTATCTGAGATAAAAATGAAAGAAATTTTTGGGAAAGTAACTCACGACGTGCAAGAAGCATAGACTTGAGAAGCACAGAGGAGAGTGATAAAGAATATCATAACATTTGCGGTACTAGCTCCGTAATGCTGAACTTGAGGCATTAATTCTATTCAGTACTAGTGCCAGGTCGCTGTGTAGGGCTCCAAAAACGACTCTATTGGTCGACCGAATAATAATAATTTGTTTGGTGGAGCGTCAGTCGTGGAGGGAAGAAAGATGAGGTTTGTGTGTAGAGAAGAGCAGATAAGCACAACTCATCCACTTAAGTCGACGATGGATGCTGTACTGTACTACAAGGCACACTGTGCGTACGAGATGTACTTGCTTGTGACTTTATGTGCCTGTGGTAGCTGTAGCGAGTAAGTGCTGGTACTGGCTGGCACGTACGACAAATGCAAGTCCACTTAAGGGCCCGCTGCACAGCATGCGCAGTCTGGAACAGTTACAGTGCCCGATCTTTCCGATCGAAATTTCGAGCGTGCCGTGTGATAAATCGGAAAACAGTAGTGGAAATTATGAACCCTGGGCGCTGAGCGCTGAGCCTCAAGTACTGACTAGGCGGCCTAATGGGCATATGAACAAGTGACCTACTATATGTGCATACGGCTCGTTGAAAGTTGGTCGCGACTTGGAACTCGGTGAAATGAACTATACTAGTTGCTGAGCGCTGACTCGGAGAGTCGGAGCGCCTACAGCATCTGCTATTGTACTAGTGCTAATTAGTACTTCACTTCGACCTTGCACACCTTCACCCAATTTAATGACAGAACCAACTAGCACACTTGCACGATCGCAGAACACAAGTTATATCGTTAACAAGAATGGTGCAGATCGTGCGTTCTACATGTTCCGTCAACAACTCTAACTACTGAGGCGAAACGACGTGTTCCAGAACTTGTGAACATACTTCAACATCGCCCTGACGGACAGGTGTATGTCCACTATGATGGGCTTGACAAACGCCTGGACGAATGGATTCCAGGGGCAAGCCTCAAACCTGTCAACGAATCCTGGCGCAAAAGGAGGAGGGACACCCCTTCACCTACGCCCACAGAACTAGAAACACAGCCCGATCCCCTCATGACCGAGGAAGAGTTTGACATCAAACACCACAAGCAGATCACTGCGCAAAGAAATTTTGACAAGGTCAATTTTGGGCAGTGGCGGATCAAGACATGGTGTGTATCGCTTATCATAATAAACATCCTCTCACTCACATCATGCTATAGGTATTTCTCACCTTATCCACTGACAGACTCAGAGCTTGAAGATAGCGCTGGACTACCTGGAGGCTCGGGTTCGTCGTCCAAGATTCCTGGCGTCAACAGAACGACCGTTCGATCACATGGGCGCACCTCTGACCTCTTGGCCGGCGGGCTTACTCGCTCGCACCTCTCTGGTGAAAAGAGCATATTATGGGTCTGTGATCGCTGTTTCAAGTACATGGCTGAGGGTGCATCATGGGAGATGCATATAGTACGTCCTGATCTTTTTGTGTGTATGGCTAGCTTATAGGTATGTCTCACTCAAGAAACAGTGCGATAGAAGGCATCCACCAGGACGAAAGGTTTATCAGCGAGGTGCGCACATAATTTGGGAGGTCGACGGCGCAAAGGACAAGGTCTCTGCATCTTGCTACTCTCGTTCAAATACTTACCAAGACCTTCAGCTCTACTGCCAAAACCTCTCGCTCTTTGGAAAATTGTTCATCGACGTCAAAACTTTGTTCTTTGATTGTGACAATTGTGCGTTTATGTCGGGCACGATGGTTCCAACTAACACACGCATCAGTCTTGTTCTATATTCTTACAGACGCGGATTCACAACGAGACCATGTTCTCGGATTCTTTTCAAAGGTATCTCGTCTACTACTAGTATACTTCGAGTCCCGAATGCTTATTCCGCATGCAGGAGAAAGTATCTTACGATGACTATAATCTTGCGTGTATCATTGTTCTTCCCCCATATCAGCGTAAGGGCTATGGAATGCTCATGATCGAATTCAGTACGTGCAAGCAGGCTTCATAAAACTGTCGAAATTGTGCGGCTCACATTATGCAGGCTACGAGGTATCTCGCCGCGCTGGTAAAATCGGCACACCCGAACGACCCCTTTCAGACCTGGGCTTAAGAAGCTACCTTACATACTGGGTAGCTACGCTCATTCGCTTCTTCAGGTTAGTTGTCCACTATTTGCGCCTTCACTACCCTCATTATCTTTGTGCAGACGACTTCTGTCAGTCCTCCCACCAGATCGGCCCACGGTTACATCTTCAGGGCGACTACCTGACCTAACTGATGTGCTACCTCCACCCTCGGAGGATGCTAATTCGCGAAAAAAGCGGGCAAAAGGATGGGATGGGGAAACGCCTGATTCAAATTCCACATTTGCATCGCCAAACGGGCTGGATGGTGAGTGCCTACTTGTGTCCACATGTGGTTCCGTCCAGAACTCAACATATCTGTATGTGAATCTAGACACTATTGCAGCAATGCGCACCGTGCTGACAACTTCCAATCCTGACGGCAGCGCGACTTCGCACGTCGTTGTGCGATCTACCCTTGCAGAGATCGCATCAGCCACGAATCTGCGCATTGAGGATGCTGCGTTTGCGTTGAATGAATGTGGGCTTTTGGGGAACACATTGGATGGTGTGGTGGGGATTACAAGGGAGATGGTGGAGGCCGTGGCCAAAGAGAGGAATGTAAAGAGAATGTGTTTGGATCCTGCTCATGTCATGTTGACGTGACCACTTCTGTCCACCAGAAAGGCGGGCTTGCTACAAGTTGTACGCTCGAACACTTCATTTACGACGGGAACTTCTTGTCAATCAGGCACATTATCTGGCCTCAGGGAACATTGCACGTATTCATCATGTTTACGATGGAGAAGATGAGGAGAAACAGAATGCATGGTGAAGTATGTGAGCGATCGTAGAGGCATGTGAACATAGCATAAGTGCTATAGGGTGCAGGACCAAGCAGGTCTGAATGAAATCGTGAATATACATGAACCATTTTACTCCTGAACAGCTGCCTCGTGCTCCACCGCAAGAATCGCTTGCCGCTTCTCTGCCAGCCTTTTGGCACGACGGTCGCGAGTAGCCTAAAAATGTCGGTACCAAATACAATTTTAAGGACTTGAAAACCAACCTTGTTCTTGCCACGGCGAGCCTCCATCTGGTCGGTGAGGACCTTGGTACGGTTCTTCTCAGCCTTAGCTTTGTGAATGTACTCCATGAGGACGCGCTTGTTCTTGAAGACGTTACCCTTCGATTTTTGGTACAAGGAGTGATATCTTATCAACGCCATCCAGGTGAGAACACGAGATTGGCGCGTGGAGGGAATATAACACACTCACAGATGCTTGTCGATCTTGCCTGCTTCTCTGTACTTCCTCAACAACCGTCTCAGAACCCGCTGTCTCCGCATCCACTGCACCTTGGTGGGGAGACGAGCCTCAGCAGTACCCTTTCTCTTACCCGGACCAGTGTGACGACCCTTGCGTTTGGCGGCAAGAAGGTCGCGGGTGCGGGCGCGGGAGTGGATAACAGTGGGCTTTATGATAACACGGCCATCTTTAATGAGTTTCTTGACGTGCGAGCGGGAGTTGGCATTCCCGATTTCAGCTTGCTCAGCAGGGTCGAGCCAAATTTTACGCTTGCCAACACCGGCGACACTTGCGGCGAGTCGCTTTTGAGAACGAAGGTTGACCATAGCGGCGTCTGAGTACAAAGAGAATAAATTTGAGCAGAACTTGGACTGGCAGCGTTTCTCACCTTGATCTTGAGGATTGTCGATGAGGACAGCTGTGACTTAGATTCACAGGCCTAGCGAAGATGTTACGTAATGAAGCCACTGAACCTTATTGAGTTTAACTATACAGGTTTACCGGAAGTTCCCGGGGCGGGTACTTACTACTGGACTACAAAAATCAGAACACAAAGCCCAGGAACTTCGAGCAGCTGGCTGGGGTTTTAGCATACCCATAAATATCGAATCAGTTTGGTTGGCAAACTCTCCGATCGAAGGATGAGTACTAGTCGCTGATGTCATAACTACGATGGATGAATTTCATATCCTTCTGGAAGCTAGATTTTGACACTTTGCAATTGCAATTGATAAGAGAACCGCGTGTCAGGTGACTCAGGTTTAACGTTCACAGTGCACGATAAGTATAGCACACCAAAATAAATATTCTATATTTACTATACATTCTCCAGGCACGCTGACAAATGATACTTCTTATCGATGAGTCGGGGTCGAGCTAACACTTTGACAAGTACACGACAGACCAATCGGAGAAATATAAATAGCTGTAGCCGCGAGTCCATGATGAAAAATCATGTTCGAATCAATCCGAGCCATCGTAGCGCTCGACTGTTACCCGGTGGCCCCGCCGGGGCCCTCGCGGATATGAGAGACACGAGAAAATAACAAATTTGGCCGAACCCGTGCAAACCAAATATACATTGACGAATAGCATTAACACCTATGCCAGGTTCGTGGAACGCATGAGAATGAATGTCAAGCCGACTTTACGTTGACACTTTGAGATGACGGTACAGAAACTCGTAAATTTGCCGGGTCGGTAGGTACCCTGTTGCTTACTCAGCCATGCCACCCCTTCTGCATTCGAAATGAACCTTCAAGATGTTCTCTCTTATTCTAACGGCATCACCCATTTTTATCACTTTCTGATTTTCGCCTCTTCAAATCTCCGTCGTCGCTGTTCTTAACGTTGACGGAACTTTTGATCTTTGGCAGATAAAGGTCCTAGTCCAGGGCTAAACAAAAAGGCAGGGTTTAATCGCCTTGCCATAGGCAGGTCACTGTCAACGGCTGGGTTCTTCCCGTTCGTCCCACGACAGCATATTGATCATCATTATCATCAAACTTCTTTCAACTGTTTCAAATCAGCATGCTGTCTCTGTAGGGCACGACCTTACCACACCTCTCGTTCCTTTCAAATCTGCGATTGGTCTTATAGCGAATACGATTCAGTATTAGGTCAGCAACGGAGAATAGCATCTCGCCATTTTTATTGCACTGTCCTCTTTCACATCAATGCTGGTTCTTGACTCAGCAGACGCTGCTCAAAGCGAGGGCGAAGGCCCTGACGGCTCAGACAAGCCCCCACTTGATGGCAGTACTCTCCACACTTACCCCCATCCTAATTCTTTCGTCAACGGTACCACGTACCACTCAACTTCACACATGCAACCCCCAAAGGTAGTCAAGGCCGTCATCGGCGGGATCCCGCGCTCGGCAACGCCCTCTGTAACGGATTTACCCTCACCACCGGAGAGCGAGAGCTGGAGTGCTCCTTCAACCCGTCCCCCAAGCCAGGCCGCAAGCCGGCCACCTAGCCTGTCTGGCGGTGTGTCGGGCAACAAACTAACCGTGCCACATACGTCAAATACTCATCAGAAGGGCAAACCCCTGCCATCAGAGAAATCACCCCCGACGCCTACCAGCCGGTCCAGGGCACCATCAAACGCTCACTCGGATGGTGGGCACAAATTCACTCTCAAAGATCTCATCTCCGCCTCTGCACCTAAACTCTCACGCAAGTCTTCTGCTCGTTCAACTAGTAGCAAGAAGTCAGATTCCGACGTGGACCGAAAATCGGTTGGCGGTGAGAGCGCAGCCAGTCTGACGCAGAAGTATGGTGTTTGCCAAAAGGTTGCTATTGGCAAGGGGGCCACTTCTGTCGTCCGCCTAGCCCATAAGTGGGATAGAAGTGAAGAGAAGCTGTACGCTGTCAAGGTAAGCAGACCCGCTAGTCACTTGTCCCGTCTTTGCCCATCACAGCCTTTGGCTGGTGCTCATAACGTCTTTTATATCTTAAGGAGTTCCGCAAAAGACGAAAGAACGAATCAGAAAAGGAATACGTCAAGAAACTCACCGCAGAGTTTTGTATTTCCTCCACGCTGCACCATATCAACATAGTTGAGACAGTTGACCTCGTCCAGGACGAGAATCAACATTGGTGCGAGGTTATGGAATTTTGTCCTGGTGGGGATCTCTACGCTGCGATCAAGAAGGGTGGTATGTCGCCCAGTGAAGTCGAGTGCTGCTTCAAGCAGCTGCTTTCGGGTGTTTCGTATCTCCATAGTCAAGGCGTCGCACATCGCGATATCAAACCGGAGAATCTTTTTTTCGACACTAAGGGTCATCTGAAGGTGGGTCAACATGCCTTACGTGTTCTTCTCTTCTCACACTTTTATAGATCGGCGACTATGGTGCATCGACCGTGTACCGCCTGCCATGGGAAGCGACAATTCACATGTCGACGGGGCTTTGCGGTAGTGAGCCGTACATTGCCCCAGAGCAATTTTTAGGCAAACGTAAGCCACATACAACCCTCTTTAATCCGGTTGCCTAACTGCGTAGGCAATAATTTATCTGCTTTGACTTAAAATAGCATACGACGCCCGTTTAGTCGACATATGGGCATGCGGTATTGTGTATTACTGCCTTCACTTCCAAGAGATGCCCTGGCGTGCTGCTCAAATGTCCGACACGCTCTATGCGGCGTATGTTGCAGCCTGTGCAGTTCAGCACAAAGACAAGGATAAAGACAAGGATGTCGTTTTCCCACCGACTATCAACAATCTGAGCCCACGGGCGTGCCGCAGTTTAATCCGGAAAATGCTTGAGCCAGACCCGAAACTGCGCTCTCCGATCGAGGACATTGTGGCGCATTCATGGGTGAAGGGTATAGAAGTTTGTCATGCTGTAGCGAAACCCACGCATGTGCATGTGCATGCGATGCAGCAAGCACATGCCCAAATCGCATCATGAGACGCGTTCTTGTGAGGTGCATGCTGCGTGTGCCAACACCTTGTATGTTGTAACCTAATATTAGCCCTCTTGGGACACAGCGCCGGCTGTATTCTTGAAGCATAATACAGAGAACAGTACGCCTCCTGTCTTAGTATCCAATTTTCCTTTTTCTACTATTATATCTGTCACTGTTTGCGCACCTACCTACCATAGCTTCTTGTAGTACTTACTTGGCGACGGAATTGATGTCTCTATGCCGCCTACTATTGTCGAGCGGCGCAAGGGCTCATTTGCAGTGTGTAATATGTCATAGAACAGTACGGTATCGTGGTATGCAGTAATGAGGTAAGGTAAGAACGAGAATTATGCCCCGTCGTTGCCTGGAAAGTCAAAAAGTCAATGAAGGACCAGATTGCATTTAATTTATCAACAACGTACCGCTCTCCTTCGTCCAATCATCATGTCGCTTGATGTCTACCTCGGTGACCGTTGGTCGTACGTTGTCTAAGCTCTTAATGAAATCTGCTAGCCTCAGCGGTGGTTCTACAAGCTCATCGGAGTCAATATCCGACCAAGTCTTTTCAACGGCATTTGAATCGCCCGGTGAGCATGGCGTCCACTTAGCCTTTCCTGACGATGAAGGTGGTGTAGGCTTGAAGTGTGTCGCCGATATGACTTTGCGAACTGGTTGCATAAGAGCATCGCGAACTACGATGGATATATCCGAGCCAGAATACCTAAGTAGTAGTTGGGTGGATCACTTCACTTAGATGGGGTGAAAAGACCGTACCCTTCTGTTCGATCGGCCAGAAGACGATAATCCTTCGGCTCTAGCTCGCATGGTGTACTGCCAACGTGAATTTCAAACATTCTTTTTCGCGCGTCCGGGCCGGGAAGTGGAATATATATTCGTTTCTCGAAACGACGCTTGATTGCAGGGTCAAGTTGCCAAGGAATGTTGGTTGCCCCGAGAACGAGAACGCCAGTGTCATCATGGCCAACGCCATTCATTTGTACCAAGAACTCAGTCTTGATCCGCCGTGAGCCTTCAGACTCAGACTCATTTCGCGTTCCGGCTAAAGAGTCGACTTCATCGATAAAAATAATTGCAGGTTTCTGTTCGCGAGCCATTTCAAACAAATTTTTTACCAGCCTGAAGGAATTTGTGAGGCGAGCTGAACAGAGTGTAGCGTCAAGCACCAACCGTTCTGAATCGCCCTGCCACTTGCTGACCAGGTCACTTGAGCTGACGCTGAAGAATGTGCTTTTGGCTTCTGTAGCAACAGCTTTCGCAAGGTAGGACTTGCCCGTTCCCGGCGGGCCGTATAGTAAGATACCTCGCCATGGTGTCCGTTTTCCAGTAAAGAGATGGGGAAACTTGATAGGAAGAATAACAGCTTCTTTGAGGGATGCCTTCGCTCCTTCCAAACCAGCAACATCGTCCCACTTCACATTCGGTTTCTCTGCTAGAATGGCGTTTGAAAGACCTGCGCGTAACTTCTTGAGCTCAGGGTCTTTGTCGTCATCGGGACCGTCAGCGGAGCCCTTGCCCCCAGTGCCGTTAGCAGAACCATCAACGCTAACGGCCTTGCGTGATTTCTTATCATCCCTCTGTAAATGCTTCTTCAAGGTCTCTGCTCGTGCAAGATACTCCTCGATTTTCGCCCTGACGAGTATCTTGGCTTTCTCATTCTTCTCGTCTACATTGGCATCTATACTGAGCGTAGACTGCGGATTTTGCGGAAGTGGACATACACTTCTGAGCCAGCATGAAATAGTCGAGTGAATTCATGTACTGCTTGTACGCTTCAAGATAGTTCTGCTTTTCATCATCCTCGATAGCACCTTTGACAAGCTCTATGGCTTTCTTCAGATCTGTTAGAAGTACACACATCCAGCAGATCTCAAACAACACTCACATCTAGATTGCTTTGCGATGACATGGAGTGATGAAATGACTGAAAGGCAAGCCTTCGACCGCAGTGCCATTAATGGATGACATAAGCGATTTGTTAAGGCTCAGTTACGGTACTCAGTGCTCGAATTGAATGTTGGAACATGGCCAGTACACCGGAATGGACTCATTCGTTACCAACTGCGCTCTTCGACGGATTGCTACCCAAGCTCGCTACAGTGCTTGAGCTCACCCAAAAAGCAGAAGGGACAGCAACTCCTGTAGCCAAACAAGCACTGCTACATGCGGTATGTCCTCTCCTACAGCAAGATCATGGAGTATTTTAATCTGCGTCCTGGTAGACGAATGATTTCAAATATGCACTTGCTCAGGCGAAAGATTATGCAAGCACACTTGCTGGAGGTGACCTGTTAGTCGAGGAACAGGACAGTGTAGTTGCGATGCTCGAGATGCTGAAACAGCACAAGCAGTGAGTTCCAAATTCTGTCTTGACTGCCGAGAGCTAATTCGCCATCAGGCAGCAATTAATGCAAGTTGGATCGGAGGTCGGGTCTTTGTCTACCATAGCAATCCCCAATGTCAGTTCAAAGATGGAGATTGATTCTACCGCTTCCACCCCATTTGCCTCTGGTGGTCAATTCTGATACTCGGGAAGCGCCGATTTTGTTGGCAGCAAACTTCGCTTGCCTCTGGTGGGCGCAATTTTATACTCCTGAAGGTCTCTCCGATGTCGACGACATATTGGCGCAGCTTTGCACGCACGGACGACGGACGTCGTGTCTTCTTTAGTAGTCCGCGCAATATTTTTCACTTTTCGAAATGTGTAGTGACCATGTACAAGTTGGACGACAGCCACACGGCACTTCTCGCATTTCGCGCGCGTCGGTGCGAACGGTTACTAAGTCTACTCATCAGTGAACTAGTAGATAAGTTAGGATGACATATGATGGTATTATATGGTAAACGATTGTCACACAGAATTTCAGGTTAGACCTGCGTCGATCATGTACAGTCGCTCTTCAATCGATATGCCAAGGAAGTTTTTGCTCGTGACTTTATCCGAAGAGGTCACCCCGGACAAGTGGTACAGTTTCCTGCCTGTGACGGCAGGTAGAAATTTTGTAAGACTTTAGATGACGGCACAAGGTAGAATACTATCACTCCTGGGGTTCTGCAACATTTTCAATAAATCTTTTGTAACTCCTTGACCACATCACATTTTCTTCTACGGATTTGCACCACTATATATTCATAGCTGCTCTATACGAATATGATTTTTTCTGATTTTAAGGATTTTGTGGTGGAGTGTCGGACGATGGCCGAGAAAATTCAGGGTCTGACTGGTATTCTGCAAAACATGGTCACGTCGTGTCACACATCGGCACAGCGGCGGCACCATCAACTTTCACTCTCCGAAGACTGTCGAAGTTGTGCAATCACTGTGCAATGTGCGTCGAATCTCGACGTTGTGCAAAGATTTGAAAACGAATACTATTGTGGATCGTAATTCATATAGTAATTATCGGGATTATAATGGTACTGTTGATAGAGTCCTGACTCGTACAGCTAGCCTGCATTACCAGAGCCCCCAATGTCATACATCTGCGCTCCACCACCAACTCGAAAATCCTGAGATGTACTAGCGAGAGGTCTACCAACCAGTGCGAAGTGAGGGTGAAGAACAGATGGAGACTGAGGTACAGAATGGTGCATTGGATGATATGGAGGTGCATGGCTGGGTGGAGGCAGACTCAGATCCATGCCTAGCATTGAGGAATGAGCGACAGGCTGCGGTGAATACCTGGATGGTTGGTGAATCGAATTTGAGGGAATCATATCTTGTGGGAATTCAGGAGCACCATTGTCGTTTTCGAGATGGCGCCTGCAAGACCGAGTGAGATTAAATAAACCTTCATAGCGTTGATTTTTCTTGAGTTCCGGGTGGTCGTTAAAGTGCTGTAAAATTCGCTGTAACAATTCAGCTTTCTTCTGAAGGCTACACCAGCGGTTTGGAGGCATTGTAAGAATGCGAGAATGAAATGACACGTGATGCGACTGGATGCTATGTATCAAGCCGAGTTTGCTGTTAGAGGAGATTGAATTTCTTACACACTCTCCTATCTGCTGTCACACTTTCATACATGTTGTCAATCATCTGTCTATAGCATCTTAAAACAAGAGAATGACCTCTATCGAAATTGTGTTCTGATACCCTGATGAGGTGTTTGATGTGCTCCAGGTGTAACTTTTTGAATATCTCTCTAGGATCTATGGGATCTGGATCATTTATGATTATACAAGGTTGCAAATCACCACTATTCCATCTCTCACAGCTGCAACACTGGAGAAATTTTTGTTCTACTTAGACAGTACATCATATATAAGTATCCTACATGCACCTGAATTTTTTCGAGGTGATTCAAGCAGCGCATTGAGGTGTTTTGAACATTTTGCATATTACATGCCAGTTGCAGATTCCCAGGAGTGATAGTAGGGGCCCATCTGCAAAACCACTGAAATGAGCGCTTAGCTTAAGCGTGTTACGGACACTTACGAATGCTTATGACTTCAGTAGCGCACTCACGCGATTGGTGGAGATGCTGAACACCAATATCACGCACTATATCTGGCTGATAGAGATCAAACCCAGTTATCTTTCATCAGTAAGATGTGATATGCTCAGAGATGCGATATGATAGATGTGATAGCAATTGATACATTGTTGTGTACTGATTTAACTACTGTCTATACAAACTTGGTACTGAATGTATGGTAACTCTCCTTCATCAGGAAACCCACTGCCGAGCCAAGTGACTTGTAGCAGTGTGTAGCACAGTGCTTCTTTTGAAACAGCTGTAGCAGCGGGTAGCAGCTGGAAGAACTAAAAACCTCTGTACTGGCTCCGGGACTTTCAAACATGCCACAATGTCCGTAATCTTCAGTAAGCAATCATGATTAAGAGTTTATGATCATGATCTTTGCAGCAAGATAAGATGATAATACTCAAGCCTGAGTGATCAAGATCACTGCTTGCCATTCAATGACTTTGCCAGACAGGAATCTTGGGATTGAGGGAAAATAGTGGTAGTACAGGCTCAAGAAACTACTGGTAACTAAGAATAGCGTGAAAGGTCTCTTTATCTGCAAAGTTATTGACATAAAACTCGCGCACCAGTTGCAAACTATTATTACAGTTCATTGACAGTGGTATCTCTCAACCGAACTTGGGGATAAGCTTGATGACCTGACGCATGCTGCCCAGAGGCACTATGTCTCCCAAGGGTTCATGGTTCGATTGAACATGGCATTGAACTGAGAACATGTCGGTTACTGGAACTGGAGCAATGAAACGGATATCATTGATGGTGCTGAATGACGAATGAGAGAAGCTGAAAAAATGGACATAAAGGAATGGTTGGTTCAGGTGTGACATTTCAGTAACAGGCTGGATGATAGCTTTTACTTGGACAATGAGATACCCTAAGATTCTGGGGCTGAGACACGAAGAAGTTATAGGGGAAAGTATACACGTATGTTCGGATGCTGCTGGGGAAAGTAGATCACCACTTTCGTGAGTGATCAAAACAGTGTCTCCCCTTCCAAATGGCATCAAAGAGCTTGGTGGTAGTGCCTGGATGGTGTGGGCAGGACTTACAATACGGTTATCTTGTGTACAGCGCTGCTGCATGCAGAATTTTTGCCAGATGTGAAGGTACTGAAAGGATAGGGAACAGTTGGGGCGACATATTCACCTTCCATTGCGCTCAAGGTAAGATCTACCGGAGATCAGATCACCCAGCGCTGGACAGAGATCTGGAATGTGGAAACGTTGGGAAGCTTCTTCAATAGATAGGCGAGGAAAATGTGGAATGCAAGTAAGAAGGATGGCAACAGTGTCATCAGAAGAAAAATGAGTGTGATCGTTGGTGAAAAGGGAAATGATTGGTTTGCCGGCGCTGACATACTGCTCATCAGGCAGGACAGTAGAGATCCAGGTTGCTTCAGGATAGTGGAGTGCCATCGTGTTTGCTTCCCTAGACATTTCATAAATCAAGCTCGCCCATTGTGACTTCAGAACTGTATAAAGCTGGAAGAATTGCAGCTTTTCCTGTCAGTCAAGGAAGCAGCAGCACTGACCATGGAAATCCTTGCAATTGGACATGCGGTAAGGTCATTTTACATGAGTGATGTGGCAACACTCAGTAATATCGCTGCTCCATTGATATGGAGCACCCATGGCTTGAGTACTCCAGACGACGTGCTGCATTAACTCTAGTTTGGGGATCTGGAAGTGATCGAGGGGACCATTCTTGCCATGGCAGCCACCTGCTGCGAGGATGGAATCCTTGTAGTGGTGAAATTTGCGTAGGGCTTCGGATAAAGAGTGTAAAGTCTCATCATGAAGGAAGAGGTTCTGTGCTTGGAATATAAATTCTGTGATAGCGCGTAGCACACACGCAACTTCATCTGGGACAGCACCAACAATCACACCAGGAAGGAGCTTCTCAAGGTCTCGATGTTCATGACCAGTGAGCTGCTTCAGCGTGGAGACACCATTCACCCAATGACGTACTCCTACACGAGGTTGAAGAGATGATAGTCGACGATTGAGTTCTGCTCCCCCCATGATGTTTATCGACCAGTTGGTGGGGGTGGTCAAAGTAAAATTTGCACATAATTCAGTCAAATTTTCCTGTGTTAAATGGACACCCGAGGTTGAGATTTTTCATGGGAGATGGGTCAACCAAGATGGGCCCTGATGTAGGTAGGCCCCGGAAGAATCGGTGGGCCCATATTGGTACGGCTGTCCGATACTGACGGATGGGCGAGCTACGGCAGTGTATATCATCCAACCCGGTGGATATGGCTGGGCCCGGTTGGGTGCAGTAGATGGTATGAGATGCTAATGTCGGATGATATGGATGGGCCCTGTCAAGTATAGTGCATGGTATAGGATAGAAATCTCGATTGATACGGATGGGCCCTGTCAAGTATAGTGTGTGATAGAGTGCATGGCATAGGATAGAAATCTTGATAGATACAGATGGGCCCAGTTGGTAACACTACCGGGTATGGGATAGGAATCTCGGTAGATACAGATGGGCCCAGTCAAGTATAGTGCATGGTATAGGATAGAAATCTTGGTAGATACAGATGGGCCCTGTCAAGTATAGTGCGTTGTCCTGCATGATTTGGGAATCATGCATGGACATGACTACTAGGTATCCCCCTAAAAGACAAAGTCTGTTAGCTTAGTCCTCAGACTAGTCAACCCATACCTTGGTATCAAACCTTGGTCCAATAGTTTCAGTTTTCCCTCAGTGATTCATGAATCCACCATGTTTTGAAGAAAAGTCATATGTGAGATGGGAATCACATAATGACCTAGTTGATATGAGAAGCAAAATGAAGGTTAAGGTATTGCCTTTCATTTGGCTTATTCACTTTGGCTAGAGAAACCCATAGAGAAAAGTTCAAAGCCTAACAAAAACCTATCTAAAAAGCCCGCGTATTGTGTACTATTATTTGTTCCATTATTTCTGAGTTGTTTTCTCTAGTGTTTCTTTACTTTACTTTTCTATTAGGATGCTCTGACTAATCAGATGCTTCATAAAATTGTACCTACAGGGTATGATGTCATAATGATGTCATAGGACTTCACCTACACTCCTGCAGGTATTTTGGTTGAAAGATATGATATCATAGTGATGTCATAATGATGTCATGTTCCATGGAATTTGCTAGAACATTCCAATGACTCATAATGACTCATAGTGACTCATAGTGACTCAGAATGATGTCATTATCCCACCATGAATATTCTGGAATGTTCTTTTGCACCTGCTAGAACATTCTGCTCCAGTTTTTGGAATATTCTTCTCACATTCTGAAGTCATTACATCACCCTTTTACTTACATAATATTCCCACACAAAATGTATATAAGGAAAGCCCATTCTCCCCCCAAAAAATAGATCTCCCACTTGTTGCATTCAAGAACCTCCCTCTTGAGCAAATTGAACTCTCACCTAAGAAGCTTCAGTCTGAACATATTGCTGCTTACAAAGCCCATTTCCTTTGTAAGAACTGTCCAGACAAGTGCAGGGAAAGTGTTTCCCTTGAGATTACGTAAGTTTCTCGTGATAGAACCCCAGTTTTGTGAGACCAGTGTTCTCACCACATAGTGTTTACTGACCAACACGAGCTTTGGTCACCATTGTTATTTGTGAGACCAGCGTTCTCACCAGGTATTTGTATACTGACCAACACGAGCTTTGGTCATTGTTGTTATTTGTGAGACCAGCGTTCTCACCAGGTATTTGTATATTGACCAACACGAGCTTTGGTCAACGTAGTCACATTTGAGACCAGCTTCTCAACAGTTAATTGTATATTCAGGAAACCAGTTCAAGTGTCTAGACGGTATATCCTAGACAACCCCATAGTTTCAATAAGAGATAATAAAGCTCCGGCTAAGTTAATCTGACTGATTGGTTTAGCGAGCCTCCCAAGAACTCACACGTTATCTACCACGAAAGAAGAAAAGTCGTAGACCGTGTTAATCGAGGACTGGCAAGAAGTCTTATCCAGTGTAATTGTGGTGTCATTACATTCTTACACGTATCTATATAAGACCCTCGGTTATTAAGACAGCATGATATAGTGCATGGTATAGGATAGAAATCTCAATAGATACAGATGGGCCCAGTTGGTAACGCTACCGGGTATGGGATAGGAATCTCGGGAGATACAGATGGGCCCAGTTGGTCACGCTACCGGGTATGGGATAGGAATCTCGGGAGACACGCATGGGCCCGGTTGGAAACACTACCGAGTATGGGATAAGAATCTCAGTAGATACAGATGGGCCCGGTTGGTAGCAATATCATGTATGGAGTAGGAATCTTAGTGGATACCGATGGACCTGGATCGTGCCAGTGCATGACAGGCCTTTTTTGGTAGATGCAGGCGAACAACGCACCGAACAATCCATTACCCGGGAGATACTGACATCCCGTTGGCTCAGTTCAACTTGTCAGATATAGGTGATCACTGGATTGCAACCAAAGACATGTCACAAGACTTGCATAACCGGGACCAACAGGTGCATCCGGGAGGTAGTGGCAGCATTGTATTATTTATTATGATGACACTGGTCATATTGCATTTATTCATTGACACTGGTCAATGATAGTCTAATGTACATGGTAATGATTGAGTAAAGAAAGAACTAAGATGCAACTATCTACCGCCAACTAATCTTTGGGAGAGGAACTTCCAGAAGGGAGGCTTGACAATTGTGACCCTGCACTGAGGCCTGGTGCGAGGGCTGGAAGACTCAACTGCAGGATGCAGAGCTTTCCCCTGCAACACCGGCACCAGGACCTCTAGACTCATCCCAAGCTGTGGTGAACAGCTTCCCCACTTCAGAGGCGCTTGGGTCCTGAAGGTGGCCATCATCAGCCAGAGGTGGGAGTTGGGTGATCCAAGAAGGGGGGATCTGGCCGAATGGGTGCCTCTGAGTTGATGGACCGGGGGGAGGCTGAAAAGCCGAGACATCTCCAGATGCGGTGAAGGCCTTCATGGCGTTGGCCATGTGTCCGATGGAGACCATGTTCCCGGCCGTGTGGAGTTCAACCTCCCACATCTTCTTCTCCATTGCGGCAAACCTTTCCTCCCAATTGTGGGCCAAATCGTTGACCCGGGTGTTGATCGCCCGGTTGACGGCCTCGGCACGATCACCCGAGTTCTGCAGCATGCCGGCAAATTCTTGATGCATGGCCTGGATCATCTGGATGATATCCAGATTGCTAGGCTGCTGGACGGCCTGGTTGGGAGGAGCATCCACCGGGACATCTGAAACCGGGAGGTCTGGCGCAGCCGTCTGGGTGTCGAAGTCCATGTTGACGTTGTTGTCAACATTGGGAGCTGGCGTTCCTGCTTCCGGGAGTTGTGAGTCGGCATCCCAATCTGGAAAAGGAACTCACCAGGCTCAACGACATCCTCGCCCTCTGCATCCTCATTGGTGGATTTGTCCACCAAAGGTGACAATGTCCTACCGACAGATGGGACATGGACACGGGAGGCGGCCCGAGTATTGACCGGCGCCCTGGATCAGGTTCTGGGTGCCGGAGTCCGGGACTTCTTGTTGGCAGCCTTGGCTTTCTTCTTGGCCGCGACAGCCCGAAGAATGGTGGCCTCCTCGGTGGTCGGACGAATGCACTTTGTCTTCTTCTCGTCGCAGCAGCGACAACACTTCCGGATCTCGCCATTCTTCTTGCTGAGGATCACTGCGCAGGGAGGGTTGTCCTTTATGCAGCGCTCACACTGCACGCTGAAGAGATGCACGGAAGGGTCGTCTTCGGCCAATGCATCATCCTCGGATGCTGAATCTGCGGGCTGAAGAGAAGTCAGGCATAGTTCTAACAATGATTGAGTTAGATACATACCTGGGTGTCCTTGGACTTTGCCACTGGGATGGCGGGTTGAGTGCTGGGAACAGCAGTGGTTTTGCTCTAAGGTTGTGTTCAATTAGTGTTTCGGGTGGATGTAAAGTAAAAACGAACCTTGACAAAAATGACCTTGTCGGCCAGTACTTCATCATGTTCATCATCTGTGATGAACTCCTTTGACTTCACCTTGGTGGAGCGTGCCCTGCTGTTTGCCCGGGGTGCCTTGCTCACCTTGTGCTTCTTCGAATGGGTCCTTGCTTTCTTTGCAGCAGGTTCGACGGCCTTGCTGGCATCCACATTGGCCTCGGGTGTGGATGCCCGGTGCTTGCGGTTGCCCTTAATGTTGCCATTGTTGCTGTTGCCCGGCACAAAGAGCTTGGCCTTCGGGACAATCGTGACGGGTGGCACGGGAGATGGTGCGAGGGCGGGCTGGACGGGGGTTGGAGTCGATGGCGCGGGAGGTAGAGGGGCGGGAAGCTCAGCCAGTATGGCTGGGGGCGCCAGGGGTTGGGGGTGCCGGTACCCCACAGATTTGGGGAATAGAGGGTGGGTGAGGATCTGGGGGTCCTCGTCAGAGATGGTGCCCCAGTCGGGCAAAGCCTTTAACTTGCCATTTATGCCGTTCTTGTCCCGTATTTCAGCCGCACAGGACAAGAGCAGCGGGGCCAATGATGTGGCAGCATTGCCATGCTGGGCGAATGCAGTTGCCTAAAAAAGAAAGAAAATCCAGTCATCAAAAGTCAAAAACTGAAAAAAAAGCAAAGGCAAGTTGACTTGCCAAAGTCACGGCAATTTCATGTGCCAATGTCTTGGCAGCCGGGGTACTGGCCTTGAGCTTCTCTGACCTCTTCACAAGCCGGTCGATTTTCTCAGCGACAAGGTTGAGGGCGTTGTTGGCGTGTTGAGATGAAGACATTGTAAAATAATCAAGATGGTACAGAAAAGGTAATACGCAGGTAATATGCGGGTTGAAACTTAGGGTATGAAAATTTGGTAGAAAAAGTCGGAGGTCAAGTTGCAATGTATATATAGGGAACAAGTATTGTGGCCACAGCAGGGCCGTGGAATTTCCCATGGCCGCATGTTGATTGTGCCTTGACCTCAATGCATTGCACAACAATAGAAGTTCGGCCGTTGCTGTGGGCCATATCTACCGCCATTGTTGACGCGGCCAACGACCATCCACTGAATCCTTCAGTCCACACAAGTCCTACTGCTGGACCACTTCGCTGTTCCCTATTTAATCCTCCCATCAAGAACCAGAACACTTTCAAGGACAGCACAATGTCATCCCGAAGAGTTAATTTTTCCATGCCTTTGGAAACTCTGGGAGAGCCCAATGGGACCTCGGCCGGTGAGTCCCATGCTAATGAGCTCAAAAAACAATCCCTGGCAGAATGGTGGGGTAACTTCATGCCGATAGACCAGTGGACCCCACCGAGAGTCAGGCGCAGATTCCCTGATTTGCAATTTAGACGTAAGTTTGTCTTCTCCCATTGATCTTCTTCGGCAGCAATAAACTAATGGAATTACAGGTTACAACATGGCTCCAGAAACTCAGATTGAAACAATTGGGGACCTGGGAGATTCAACTCCCGACCAGTATGATCGGGCCTGCTCTGGCCTGGATGAATATATTGAAGAACTCTCTTGTAAGCTTCGACTTCTTTTTCTCCCGAATTTCACTGACATCTTACCAACAGCCATGTTTGACGAGGATTGGGCCAAGTCCCAAGACCCGGCACTCCTCTCTCCAACAACACAGTCTGTGGATGAGGAGGACAAGGTAGATGAGCTGGTGGATGATGACAGCCCGTTGTATGATCTCAGGTGGAGCAATGCATCTTCCGAACTGGACAATGCCATCCCCTCGGATGATGAAGGCAAGTTTCGTTTTCAAGTTAAGTGCTCTTATGTTAAGACCGTACTCAAGTAGTATCGGATCTGAAGGGCTTCGGCCTCAGCTCGTGCGCTGTGCCCCTTTCCCGAGTCTTGCCCCTTATTTCAGAGAGCTAAAGTATCGTGTCTAGTGAGACGGATAAGTATTGTAACGGATAAGTCTTGTATCGCAACGGATCTGTTAAGACTTCCGGATATCGAACGTATAGAGTAACGGCTAATCCGGATCGGATCCGGACTAGAAACTAACGGGTGAGGACTGTCCGAATGACAGAGGCAGATATGTAGACTATAGGAATCTATCCTAAGTCTCGGAGTAGACAAGAGTAGCGTACTCAAGTCCGGACGGATAACAGGGGGACTTAGAGTCCAGACGGAATGAGTGCAATCTAAGATGATATTCAAACTGATCTACTACAGCGCATATACAAAGGTTTATATACTACGGATGGCTAACGGAATGATCAATAAGCAAAGGTGCGAGGCTATGAACGAAAGTATAAGCAAAGTCTAAGTGGAGCGTATTGGTAAGTCGGATGGATCACGAATCATGAACCGGGAATGAAGTACAAGTAAAAGCGGATTCGTAAGTGTAGCGGATCAGTAAGCAAAGCGGAAGTAAAGGATAACCGGTATACCGGTGTACAGGAATACCGAAAGGAGATGAACGATAGTTAGAGTTATATGAACAGGAAATGAAATAAGAATCAAAGCGGATCTGTGGACCGGACGACGGATATGTTCATCGGATCTGGATCGGATCTGAGATCCGGATCATTGGATCTGTAACCGGATATATGGTATATGACATTGATAGTGATTGCTCCAGCGACGATATCCCGGATTTGGGTGGACACCCACCTCAGGTGCTGTTTAGACCCGAAATAGCTGTCATCCCTCTCCCGTTGAACTTGGGATTAGAGAGGTGCGAGGAGTTGGGCGTCGTTGGTCTTGTCAGAAAAGAGATCACCCTGCGGGAAGGGCAGGCCAATGACATGCTGCATGCGATCAGAGTTACCTGGCTGACAAGGCTGTCTTGTTTAGGACCACAGTCCGGCTGGCAAAGTCTCAAGCCACCACCACCCAAGCATGGGCCCAGGTCCACTCCGTGGAACAAGTCATCAACCTCAACGGCGCGATTTACAAGAAATGCAGGGCCCAACTGACCAATCTTCGGGCAGACCAACTGCTGGAAAAATACTGGGAGTTGGAGAAAAAGGATCTCAAAGCCACTTCAGCTGTAGCTGATCCCAATGCCCGAGGTCAAAGAAATTCCACACTGCCTTGGTTTTGGTCTTTGGACGTTAGAGGAGACTCGGTGAGCAACAACTGGATGAATGAATGTGAGTCATTCTCAGGACCTCCATTCTCTACTCACGCCCGCCTGAAATCCAGTTTATTGGGTGCACTGGCTTCGTACCAAGGGTTTACAGGACCGGTGGGCTGAAGAATTACTCCTGATTGGACATGAGATGCATTGGACAATCAAATTTCTTGCACACAAAGCTGAAACCTGGCTTGGCCGAACAATCTGAAATGGCGAGCCTGTAGAGGATGGGCTGAGATGTTATGCGATCAGACAAGCGCAGATGTACAGACAATTGGTGGAGGATGCTCATGCTAGATTTGCTGAAGTTGACTGAACATTCGGTCACAACTTGTAATGTCTTTGGTAGATTCTATGCAGCAACCTTTTCGACGTATGTAGTCATGGCCGCGTGGAAACAATGCGGTTTCATATTGTTTCATTTCGGACCCATTGTTTACCCGGTGGACAATGATTGTCTGGCCACAGATGAATCAGACTGGGTTTGAATCGCCGGCTATTTATACTGACAGATCATTGTGGCATTCCCAACTTGCAACCTCATACATTTCCCCCGCATATTAAAACCCACCCGAATTATGACATCTCCATCATTTGCACTCACCCGGCAAAATTTGGCCCAACCAGTACCCACCTTATGGGACGTGGCTAATATCTTTGAATATGCCACCTCCCGCTTCGCTGCGATCCGGGAGTCCCTGGACAAGAGCCAAGTATCTCGCACTCCGCATTACCAAGAGCGATTTGTTCAGCATCTGGTTTGGGAAGCTGATGTGAGTGTTTTTACCTCCCGGGTATTCACTTTCTTTAATCCTAACCAACTTCCATACCATACAGCGCTTCGTTTTCCCCTTCATAAACATGTACGCGATCAACAACACGCAGCCATGTTTGTCGGAATACCTGAAGCAGGTAGTGAAGATGCTCACGAGCTGGCAGATGGGTGCTTTGGACAATCCCAGCCTGTTCCACAAATTTTCAACACACCAATTTGACACCTCGGGTGACCTCATGGTCCGGTACAGGAACCTCTGGATCCACCAATACACTTGGTGGAAAGACCGGTTTGACTTGATGCCGTTTGAGGTGCCCAACCGACTCACTATGCATGAGGTCATACAGCTATACCGCACCCATATGCAACAGACGGTAAGTGCAGTTTATGTTGAACTCCCGAGTTTCTGTTCATCCCTGATGCCGGTTGATGAACAGCCTGCCGCCCACATTCTGCTGCCAGAGATCCGCAGGCGTGCAGTGGGTCCAGACCCCTTGCTCAACAATCTCCGGGTTATTAGGGATGATCTTGAAGACTTGGGGACCAAGCTCAAGGACTGGCTCACCGAAAAGATCAAAGACGGGAGCACCGCTTTAGAAGAAATGACCTGACTCAAAGGTCTGGTGGATGACCTTCATGATGCCATAGCAGCCTCGCAGCAGCTCTTGGGTGCTGATAGGGGGAACCCTGCATCGGGTTCATAGTTTAGACATATATTTCGGTAGTTGTCCATGCCCCATTGTAGTAATAGCTAGTTCAGTTTGACATTTCGGTAGCTATCCCTTGTGCAGTCCATGTTTTTTGGGTAATAAAATGTCTCGGAAAACAATTGCCAAGTCCCATTATGTCCCAATGAGGCATGAGCATTGCAGCGTGATAGGAGATTACGTACCGAGATCAGGCATCAATGATTTCATATCCGGTTATTACCCCCGCTTAGATTACGTCTTTGGGCATGCAAGGGGCCATGAGGCAGGTGCATAAAAGAGCGCCTTGTTGATAACCTGCTCAGTCGTTTGCCCCACTGTCATGTCCCAGATCTCACCTGAATCGTGCTCATACTCAAATCATGCAGACTTTCTCAGGAATGGTGTTTTCCGACCGGCTGGAATACCTCAGGACTGGGCATTGCACACCACCAATGTAGCAAGCGAATGGGTGGAGCAGCAATTCCTCGCCCATATAGCCGGTCGGCCCTTGGTGAATCCGCCGCCTGAATTGGACATGGTCACGATGCTTTCGTGTGGGCAACTGGCTTTGCGCATGGCCCATGCCTATCAACATCCGAGTGAGTGAATTTGCGGGCATGCTGGGATCGGATCATCATCCTTCCAAAATTAGTTAAATTAGACATAGACATCATCCGGTACAATGAGGCCCTTGCCAAGCATGAATCCGGGATGAATAACGCCCAGGAAGAGGCCTTGTTGATGAAGTTCCCTCCTGCTGAGAACATATTTTTGGACACCCCGTCAGTGGTGATGGACTCAGGTTTCAGGGTGATCCTTTGGTACATCCCGGATGGGTTGAGTCCATGGGTGCAGGTTTGTACATCAGCAGACGTCCTCATCAACAATTGACTTTGATTATTGCAGAATGATATGTATGCAGCCACTGTGTCCATGGGAGATCTTCTCAAGAAAAGTGTCACTACCAGGAAAGGAAGCGGTTGGAGGACCCACGAGTCCAACTTTCGACCTGCCGAGTCGCCGGGATTGACTCCCGGGTGCATAAACATAGCACTGTGTTGGTTCCAGCAAGGTCATGAAGTGGCTCCTGCAATTCCGGCGCATAAACTTTATTGATGTGCAGTAGTGCTATGGCCTGCCTCCCGATAATCCAGAAGATGGGTTCAAACCCGAGGTGTCAGCCACCCTGAAGGGCGAAAGGAGCCTGTCTATGATCATGGACATGCAGAGGCCTGTGCTTCTTGCATCTGCTGCCTTGCGGGTCATGCACCCTCAGCTGTACTGGGCTTCTGTCAAAACTCAAATTGAACTTGGTCGTTGGTGGGGAGACCATGGCATGGCGGACATGCATCATTTGTTGAAGTATTGGGCCTCTGTTTACACAGGTGCAGCCGTCATGTGCAACCACCAGTCTCCCGATCACCGAGATCTGAAATGTCCGCCCGAGGCATTCGATATACTGACCTCCATAGGCAGTTACCGGCGGGCAATCATGAAGTTGCCCAACCTGGGGATCGAGTTGGCATACAATCCAGGAGTGATGGTGAGTTATTCAGGCCGTCTTGTAAGGCATGGAATCAGGGTTGATGAAGGTGATCGGATAGTATGGTCCTGGTTCCTCCGAGATAGCGTTCACAACTACACCCACACCCCTCGCCCGGATTACGCCAGATACAATCCGGCCGACCTCGATGCATACAAGTTGGCCAAATACAACCAGGCTGATTTTACCGTGTATGGCAAGCTGTAGACTCCTGTCCCACTTTTATTCTGCACATCATTACAATACCTTGTCCTTATCTGTCATTCCCTACATACAGACACATTCTCTTGCCTAAGTATCTCATTTGAATACATTATCAGATCTTTAATATAATTTCTACAAGAGGGGAAAATGTGAGTAGGCATTCCCTCGCTGGAATCCCAGGGTAAGTCATCAACTTCGGACGTGTCACCTTGCAGCAGCCAAAGACAACCACGCCCTTTGCCCGGTCATTGAACCTTACCTAGGCCCAGGACTGTCTGTCCATTCCTGCATCATTGCCTTGGACCTGGTAGTTGACCAATCCCATATCTGGGCCTGCCAGTCACATCCTACATTGTCACCCTGCGCCTGGTGGTCGAATCATACCATGGCATATACTGAACATTCCGTCAAGGCCTACATCATCACCTTGCGCCCAGTCGTTAACCAATCCCAGACACGGACTGGCCCGTCAAATCCTACATCGGGCCCGGTTATCAAATCCTACATCGCCCCCTGCGCCCGGTCGTTGAATCACGCCCATGCCCGGGCCCACCCATCAAATCCTACATCGCCACCCTGGACCTGGTTGTTGAATCATATCCATGCCCGGGCCCGCCCGTCAAATCCTACATTGCCACCCTGAGCCTGGTCGTTAACTATACCCATACATCGGCCCGCCCGTCAAATCCTACGTCGCCACCCTGGGCCCGGTTGTTAACCATACCCATACATCGGCCTGCCCGTCAAATCCTACATCGCCACCCTGGGCCCGGTCGTTGAATCATACCCATGCCTGGGCCCACCCATCAAATCCTACATCATCCCCCTGGGCCTGGTCGTTGAAATCATACCTTATCCACTGGGCCCGCCCATCAAAACCAGCATCATCGCATTGGACCCGGTTGTGAACCATAACCACACCCAGGCCTGCCCTTCAGATCCTACCTTGGGCCCAATCGTAAACCATAACCATGCTCGGGCCCGCCCGTCAAATGCTACATCATCGCCCTAGGCCCGGGCGTCGAAACCTACATCATCCCCTTGGACCTGGTCGTTAACCATAACCATACCTGGGCCCCCCCGTCAAATGCTACATCATCCCCTTGGGCCCGGTCGTTAACCACAGCCACAACCGGTGTAGAGACTCGCGTTTCTGCAGGCACATATGGGCACATTTCGCACCTTTTCACAACTCATGACAATTGGCCTTCAATGCACAACTTGCACCATCAGCTATATTCGACTTCTATCATGTCTCTAGTTGTTTTACACATAACGCGCAGCTTTCCCGCGAAACGCGCCATAGGCGCGCTACTTTCCCACACAACACGCAGCATTCCCGCGCGCACTCAGCGCGTTTCTCTCGCACTTGTCGCCCTACTCCATACGCAACTTCTGCTATGTCTCCAGTCATTTGCGCATACAATGCACAGCTCTCCTGCAAAGCGCACCATAGGTGCAACACTTTCTCACGCTTTCGCATTTCGCATTCCCGCGTGCGTGCTTAGCGCGTTTCTCGCGCTTAAGCACACTCCATCGCGCATCATCCAGGAGCATCCATCCATCATCCAACCAGTTCCTAGGTGTGTCCCTTTTCATTATCAGACCATATTTAGCCTATTACACTTTGTATTTCGTTATGCACCCTTACTTTACATCACTTTACCTCACTTACATACTAAGAGCGCTCCCTATTCGGCCCTGAGCCCTGGGAGAGTGCTTAGGTAGAACTTACATACTTTCATGTTCGTTTGACACCAGAGCTTCCTACCACATCTTTCTACCACCATGTACTTGGCAGTTAGTTCCATGCAATGCATGCGTCCGTCGTCGTCGTCTTAAGGCCCTAGCACAGTATCCATCTATATCCGCGCTTTCACCATATTATCGTCTCTCTACACTTGTGCACTGCTTGCACTACCATCCCAGTTCTCTGCGCATTTTCGCCTTTCGCACTTTCGCCTTCCCACGCTTCGCGCATTTTTCGCGTTTCACTTTCCCGCGCGCGCCTTGAGCGCGTTTCTCGCGCTTACATCGCCCTTTTGTCGCCTTTGATCAGGGTTGATCAGCATCATTTCGTGGATCCTTGCTTTCTTTGCTTCCCTTAAGGGTCGAACATATCGCATGGCATATCAAGACCCAACATAGAGAGCGTTTGCTTGTCATCTGACTTGCGTTCACCTTTGTTGTGTTACCCACACCGGGCCCACCCGTCAAATGCTACATCATCACCCTAGGCCCGGGCGTCGAAACCTGCATCATCCCCTTGGGCCCGGTCGTTAACCATAACCATACCTGGGCCCCCCGTCACATCCAACATCATTGCCCTGGGCCCGGTCATTCAACCATTTCCATTCCACATCCGTCGGGCCCAACTGTCAAATCCTATATCATCCTGGGCCCAGCCATCAGATTCTACATCACCCCAGGCCTGGTCGTTGAATCCTACATCGCAATTCGGACCCGACCCACCACCACAACCAGCTCATCATCACATGCCCCTCAGGCCCAACCGTCCTGTCAGTTGCCACCCATGGGCTGGGCCGTTCATATCGAAGCATCACAAACATCATGGGCCCAGCCATGACTATCGGCCTGAACTTGTCCCTGGACCCACCTCGGGTGGCCCATCTCCCATGGAAGAATCTCAACCTCTGGGTGGCCATTTAGCACGGGAAAAAGTTACTGAATGGGCTCAAATTTGTACCACTGATGGAGGCCATCTGGTGTCAGAAAGAAGGATGGGCATGCATTACCCCAATCCTTCCAGTACAGCTCGACGACACCATTCAGATGAAGGATTTGGCAAGTCTTATAAAAGGATGCAATGTCACAGGGGTCAGAAATAGTACATGCTCTTTTGATAGCATTGAGAGTGTCAGAATGAGTTCGAGGAGGATGCGGAAGAGGATCCCCGAATTGGGCAGCAATAGAAAGAGAAATGAGTGAACACTTCGAGGCTGTACATGCAATGAGCAGTTGCTCAGGGTAGTCAGCTATCCAGGCAACTAAAGGCATATGAATCATATGCAAATCTCCTCTTGGATCTGACATGGGGCAGCCATCGCGAGCGGCAAGCTTCAAACTACGCATGACGACCGAAATCATGAAATGATACACTCACACGGATAAAATTGCCTGAACGGGCTTCGGAACATTAAGAAACTTTGGTATTGGCAGGTAAGCAACTAAAGCGAATGCGTGTGACGTTGCTTTCATGTGAACACCTGCATGTATGTTAGCGAGTGAGATTAACAAGGGATGCATCTCCTTGTTCCCGGTCCCAATGGTCAGAGGCGTCTTGTCCGAAGCACTGATCATGCCAACAAACAAATGACCTGGAGGAAGTATATCCTAACAAGTCATTATTACTACAGTGAGCTTAAGTCCCCATCATGATCAATGATGACACCACCTACCTGTATCTCCCAAGCAAGATCAGCGCTCATAAACTCTCCGTAAGCTCATTGATTGTCTGGGCTTTCGAATTCCCGGCACAGCTGGAAGTCCATACAAGGCCCAAAGACTGGGTTGCTGAATAGATGCTTCACAACCTCAAGACCATCTCTTCAATAAAGCATCAAAGGGGCTTTCGTCTTATATGAACCAACTTTAATTTGTTGGTGGTACCATCGAGGTACTTCAGGTAGTCCTTCGATCCAAGAGCACAGATCCTTCAATGTGTTGAAAGAGGGAGGAATATTCTTGGTCTGTGTCTATTATCAAAATACTGATGCTGTATGAAATGTCGTCAGGCAACTTATGTGCTCGAGGTGGAGAAAAAAATCGACTTCTTTTTGGGATAACGCCCCCTCCAAAAGCCAGTATCCCAAGTCAAATTTGGCTTTCGACGCAAAGGGATAGTAAAGGTTTTCCATGTGATGGATAGCGGCATGTATGTCACGGTCCATTTTCTGAAGATGATTCTCCCCTCCAGGGTGGGTGATTGGCACATTGGGGTGGTAATCCCTCAATGTTCCGGGACATGGGCCTGCAGAGGGATCGACAGACACAATGGGGGGTGTCGTAGTCTGACTTGATGTACTAGGATGATGTTGCTCAGGCTGTGGTAGAGACGACAGGGATGGGTTGTTGAGTGATACATCGTCCTCTTCTGCATCATCTAAGGTATCAACATCTTTGTACTTGCCATAAACTAGGTGCATTCTAAGATTTAGCCTCAATTAATCGAGTGAAATACATGTACCATCTTGCTCGTGTTCTAGGTCGTCATAATTGAAGTCCGAGGTAAGACCTTGAACAACCCACTGACCGCAGGTGACAGTAGTTGATAGATTGCACATGAGACTGTCACTGCTTGCAAACATATCTGCGCAGTTGGGGCAAGTAAATGCGTGTCCACCATCACTAGTAGTTGAATGGGGAAGATGTAAAAGAGGTGAGGATGACATGTTGCTACTGACTTACTCTAAAGTTGAGGAAAGCCCTTATAAATCCATCTATGATCCCTGGGGCATCCAATTTGACCATCCCAAGTTGGCAGGCAACATCAAAGATAGCTCACCTTGGCAGGCAATGTCATAGATAGGCTCACCTCCTAACAGTCAGCTGCCCTGCTAGCATTGTCATCATGCAAATCCGGCTTATCATGACTGCTATGAATGAGAACCGCAATAGCTTACCTTCTAAACGGTCAGCTGCCCTGCTGGCATTGTCATCATGCAAAACACTATGAACATGGAGAACCACAATAGTTTACCTTCTAAACCTAAACGGTCAGCTGCCCTGCTGGCATGTGTGATAAGGAACTGTCGAGAATCACGAGCTTACCTCCCTTGATGGCTCTTGAAGGAGGCTTAGAGAGTAGCATCGGAGCTGTTGCTGGACTTAGCACAAATTTTTGCAAGTTGTGGATAGCTGTGTGAGAACTTTCTATTTGTTGATTCAGTTATCAACAACCTTGAACTGACTTGATAATCATTCATAATGCCTTGCACAAGCAGCACCAGCAGCTCATTTGCATCAGCGAGGACCTCTAATAATTTGAGGTTGGTTTTGAAGTTATGTTATTTTCCATGACCAGCCACTCACTGACTGCACACCCAGTGTTTCATCACCGCCCACATCTGAGGCACCAAATGGCTCTCCCATATCAAAGAACAGCCCTCCTAGCTTGAGGAGGACCTCCCTGGTGACCCCAATCAAGCCCAGGTATGTTTAATAAGTATCAGTTGTTTATGGTGAACTGTTAATCACTATTCTCTCAGAGTTGCCAGATCACCAATTCCTACATATGGAGCTCCTGTCACCTATCCTATACTGAGGAGTAATTCGCCCATACTGAAGAGTAGCCCTATCCAGAGAGTTATCTCCCCCATCCCAACAAGTAGTTCCCCTATCCCAACAAATAGTTCCCCTGTCCATACAAATAGTTCCCCCATCCTAAGGAGTAGCTCCCCCATCTCAAGGAGTAGCTCCCCCATTCTGAAGAGTATGTCCATCAAGAGGACTGGCCTGCACACCATGAGTGCTCCTCCCCTAATGATCACTGTGCCTGGTGAGAGCCTCACATCAGCTACTAAACACGGTCCTTTCAAGCGCGGACACCAATATAGCTTACTTGAAGATGGTGGTGAACTTGAGGATAATGGGCACTTTCCTACCAAGAGACCCAAGACGCTGTTGACATTGGTATGTTACCCTCACTTGAATCAGTTTCAAAGCTCAAACAATTCTTAGTTCACTTGTGACCGCCCCACTGACACTGCAGTCTATTTCACAGAATGCATGCTTCAGCTTTCCTGTGTCAGTTGCCGGACCTTTGCCGCAAAAATGGAGTATCAGCGCCTATGCACCGAAGAACTGGAGCTGATAACGGAGATCATATGGGATGAACTTGAAGAAGCCAAGACTCATCTGACTAAAACTGATTTGCAAATTGGCTCACTCTGCAACAATCTTTACGATGCAGGGGTGTCGGTGATAGGAAGCAAAGGGAGACCCGGAAACCCTGCACCGAAGGAGGTCGATTGAGCAGGTTGTTCCCCAGTTGTGGTGACCACAAGGCTGATGGTAACAGCAACTCCTGTGATACTTCCCATGACGTCATTTCCAAGTTGTTTGAATGCGACAATGATCATGATATTTGATCAGGCTGACACTGTCACTTAATTCACAACTACTACTAAATCAGTTCTACCATTCAATCCCCTGAGCATATCTGACTGTTTATAGAGTGCATATACATATGTACGTATGTATGTAGCCTTGTGTTCTAGTAGTACTGCGAGGCAGTATGATTATGATATTCATTTTCTGTAGCGAAATTTCTGGGGTTACTCCTAGTATTGAATCTAGAAACGGCGAGCTGAAACAGTTGAGTCATGATGAATGAGGCATGTTGCTTTACGGTTTGATTAATTCTTGTCTTATAATAATGTCCTCAACTCAAACGCTCCACTCATCCACCTCTCTCTCTCACTCCTATGCCTTGCAGCCAGGGTTCAGGCTGCGGGTGTGGATGCAGCGCATCTAGGGTGCAGGTCACTGCCTCGAATATTGCACAAACATTGGCTGGCCCATCCATTCCCGGATTTCAGCCAATTCCATTCCAACACAACCCAAGTACTACTATAGATTGCCTTGCATCTGCCGCTGCGATGATAGAAGTACCTACTTGTTTTTTTTTCCCGTTTCCGTACTAACTTACTTTAAGACAGATGGCAACCCAACTGACACACTGCTCCAACATCAATCCCGCCAATCAAGATCCCAGTTCCCATCCCAGGAGCATTTACGGCCTTACTCTATCCCATCCTCTCGTGCCGCTAGCTGTCGTACATCCAGAGCCTTAACTAGTATCTATAATTTTGATGATGACGCCGAGTGGCCAGAACGTGCTAGGTGGGGCTCAAAGCTAGAGCTCAAACCCAGTGATATGAGGTATTATAGCGAACTCAATCAAAAAATATTAAACATGCTTGCAAGCTCATTATTCTCGACATGCTCTTGGAGAATGGGTGGCAGAAGACTAGCTAGCTTGAGCACGTTGCTGCCAAATGTATCTCGCAGGCGCCCACCTTGTCCGGTCATGGTATGTCTTGGCATTCAGGCTACTACCTATTAGTACTTACCCCTTCATGTAGTCACCAGTTCCACTGAAGGCATCAACAAACTTATCTTCGATGGGTTATCTACCATCAGAGGAAAGCTTGTCAACGACACCGAACAGGTGCTCTCTTCTTTGGATATATACCCACCTGATGATAGTGCTCTGAGTGACGAAGAAAGGATTGATTATATACAACAGCACGTTAATGTATGGTTGGTTCTCATGGTAGGCCCATATATCTGCAATCTACACTGAATGTAGTGAAGCCAGGAAGGCAGAAAAGGAGGGTTGGGGGCTGGTCACAGTTAAAGGGAAAGGCTTTGAGGGTGAGGTCTGCAGCTCACCAGATGTACTGGTTTATAACAATATTCCTGGTCTCTTCAGATATGTTATGGACCGAAATCCATTGGGAAATCTTTTGAGTTCCTGCCTCCCTGGGGTTGGGATGGAGAGACATGGATGGGTGGTGCCCCTTGGTACATGAAATTCACTATGATGGCAATGTTCATGTGTATATGTTCAGCAATGACTGCAGTATTCTCAAAAATGTCTCTTCTAGTATAGTCAAAGATGCGGACCATGAATTTCAGGTACTTGACCTGGAACCAGGCGAGTAGGATGCAGTTATTGAGGTGGTCAAAGGATTGTGTGGAGTGGGACATGTGGGTTTTAGGGAAGCTGCCAATTGGTGTGGGGGTAAACTGGAGAAGGATAGTGTGGTGGTTGGGACTGTCATGACACAGAATGGACCTATTAGTTTCTGCCAGGGCAATGTGCATAAGGATGGCTTCCTCCTTGGGTGTTGGGATATGTGGGGAGGCAGGGTTAGGGGGGACACTCATGACTTGGTCTCCCACATTGTTGTGTGGTGCATGAATAGAGTCTGTGAGGTTGCTCTGGATGAACAGTTAGGTTTTTTGGGAGGGACAACATTGTTCTTATGCTGAGGTGCAATAGCGGGTGATTGGTTATGGAAAACATGAGGGGCAGGGATTGGTGTGTCTGGGGGGGGATATGGAGGTTGTTGGAGAAGGTGGGTCAATTTGAGGGGTTGGCATTAGGTCCATATTGTCATCATTTTTGAGAATGTTAGAAAAGAAGTATTATGGTCTGGTGCATGAGGACTGAGAGGTGAGATAAGGGATAGATGGGTGTGGGTGGGTAGTTTTGAAGAGAGTTTTGATCCAGGTAGGTTCCTTGTCTTTCATCTTTCAGTGGACAAGGAGAGGTATACCTAGCAGGGACAGGTTTTATGGGTGAAATTTGGACACAGATTAGTTTTAGGTGAGGTTGTCTGTGTGTTGGGGAGGCTCCTCATGGCCAAAGGTGTGCTGGTATATCAGTATGATAAGGATAGATTGTTAGCTTTAGTAGGGGGTGCTGTGTCAGGGTTTTGACTAGTGGTGAGAGAGGGCTAAGTGTCATGGTTTGCATACCTTTACTTTATATTCAGGCATAGACCTGCTACTCCTTTTAAGCTTGAGTTCAAGATGATTATTAATTATTGGTTGCATTTCATGTTCTTCACTTTTTGGGTTAATTGTACTCTAATGTGTAGGATTTGGTGTTCATATATAGCATATAGTCATTTGGGAGTTCTCCATTGTCGGCTGGGTGAGTTTATGTTTCATTGGATGCTTTAGATTGGGTGTTGTGTGGTTTCATCAGTCAAGGTGGCTAGCATTGGGATTTTGTTTAATGTGGGGGTATTCGCAATTCATAGAGATGAGTTGCTTGTTAGAGACCAGTGGTAGACTGTAAGCTATCCTTACTCGACCTTGTCTACAAACAGTATGGGATTACTAACCATGGTAGTAGTACAGGTTCAAGGGCACCAACTCCTCATAGATATCCCTATCATTAATTAACTAGCTCCAGATAAAGTATTTCACACACAACTCACCAAAAAGACCAAACAGGCCCTTTCTGCAATCAGCAAAGAAGACACCCCAGATCTAGGAATTCGATTGGTTATCCGATTTTACAATGAAGGAACAGTCATTGAAATGCTAACTACTTAGACTACAGAGCATTTCAAAGATCAATACAACAATGTCATTCTCTAAATGCTGGACCCTAGAACAATTCTTAAAGACTGTTTCTATGTAGTAATTATTCAATTTGTACCACTAAACTTTGATCCCAGCAGCCTAGAACAACTATGTAACCTAGAATAAGAAAATGAATGAGAGGAAAACTCTATCACATCAGCACAAAGCATTAAACCCCCAGTCAAATAAACATCTACTCAAAGAGTCACTCACCTTATCATCGCACTATATGAACCATAACACAACACTTAGCAAGAACCCCCACATCACTTCCAAGACACCTTAGATAGGCACTTTTTCCCAAGAGAAGCACTCCAAGCAAGAGAAACCAGGAACCTCTGAGGCTGCTACCTCCCACCACAAATGAGAATGACATCCTGTCCATTATGTGGTTACCCTCATCCACAAGCAGATCAACACTAACAACTAGTGCTAACTCCCCTTGCCATCAGTAGATAGTAGTTGTTCAACTCAATGGTGCATTGGGAAAAATGACCATCTTCAATATATATAATGACAGCAAGATAGGTGTCTATTAATAAAGTAGTAGTACTGGTGGATGACTTATAAGTCAATGGTTTGGATTGAACTGTGGTCACTCCAATGTCAATGATTTATTGTCATGTCCATTTTACAAACCTTCATATACTATTTTGGCTCAAAGTCTCAATTTTTATTGCTACATCAAGTCATAAAAACCTAATGTTTTCAACCCAGTCTTGTAAGAAACTATTCACCTTGCTTTTTATATATCAACCTGTTACAAAATACTGCAATGTACAATCAGAGGTTGACCTGTACATGCATGGTCTTATAATCAAT